GGAATTAACGGCCAACCTTTTCGCGTTGCAAGTTGCAAGCGATTCTGCCCCATCGTCCATCTTAATCATCTTGCATGTGAATTCGTATCATCCCAGGCAGGCGATTTATCGGCCGCCCCTCAGCCTTTGCAACAAGTATTCGGCGCGCGCCTTTGCCCATCACAGATCATTAGTTTTCAAGAATCCCTTGCAGCAGATGGAACGAAGTGCGCACGCGCGCGTCGTCGCGCGCGCATGCCAAGTTCCTTCAGAACCCGCGTGAGGAGATCAAAATTGAGCGCCCCGAAAACATGCGAACATAAACATATGGTTTCGCAACAAGAATGTTCAAGCAAAAGCTTGCGCTCGGATTCTTGCGAATTCGTAAGAAAACCGTCGGTGGTTTTCTCCCGTTTTTTTCCGGAATTGCTACCAAACGGGCCTTTCGCGCGCGCATGTCGGAATCGCTCGAACGCTTTTGCGCACGTGTTGTCGCAATAATCCATTGCGGAAAAAACGGAACGATGTGCACGCGCGCGCGTCGTCGCGCGCGCATGCCGGTGTTATATTTATATATATATATATATATATATACATATATAATCATATGGTTTGACAACATCAGTGTTCAGAAATGTTTGCGCTCGCGTTCCTGCGAGTTCTGGAAGGAAACCATTGGTTTTCAAGATTTGTCATTAAGTTCGATTCGGGCCACTCGCGCCGCACGTCGAAATCATTCGAAAGCTTTTGCGCGCGTGTTGGGGGGGGCATGATGTGTGCCAAATAGTACCATGCGAGCCACTGTCGCGCGTCGGCCGCGCGCACATGTCGAATTCTCTCTGAAACATGCATCACCGACGCGAGGGCGCCGTCATCGTCGTCAGCGTGGTCAGTATCGGCGCCGTCACTGACCTTGCCGTCGTCGTCGTTGCCACCATCGTCACCATCATCGATACCATCATGATCGCGTCTGCCGTTGTCGACGTCGTCGTGATATTGAGCCCGCCCAAGTCGCCGAGTCGCCGACCGATGCACGCTGGAAATTGCCCAGCGGTCAGTGCCACCGCGGCCGCGTCGGTCGCGCCAAACTAATTGGCCGCTGCGCGCGCGAGAATACGCGGGTTAGCGCGGCCGCAGAGATACACCAGCATTCTCCAAGCATTCACCGCAATCGCTGCCGCATTGGTGTTTCAAACCAAATCGCGGGTGGGTGGGTGGGACGATTGCGCGAACAACGGAGCTGACAATTCCTTGCGAACAGAAGCTATATGCACCACAAAAATGGCACCACTTAGATGTATGTGGATATATATATATATACATTCCACCACATATCTGGCACAACAAAGATTGTATCACATAGCTTGCACGACATCGGATGTACGGCATCAAGTGTTCCACGTTGGTACCATTAGATGTTCATGTATAATCCACCGAATAGTTTGCACCACGATGATGGTACATCATGTGTCGTATCATAGATATTGCACAACAGGTGCTGCATCACATTCAGCGCACTGAATAGGTTGATATACATTTGTTGCACCACATAGATCGCACAACATAGTTGGCACCACACATGCTGCCCGACCCGTGTTGCTCCACGTCGACTATATCACAGAGATGGCATTACATGGGTTATCGCACAGCATACAGTGCACCACATCGTTTGCACTACATCGATTGTTTCAGATAGATTGCGCAACACAGGTTGCTAGAAACACTGGTTGAAGCCCATGCTGTCTATCATGATTTATTAAGTTTTCTGCATACGCAAGATCAGGAATCAAATGCGCAGAATCTGCTCGCGCAGCAACTCCAATTTCAGGGCCCGACGAGCCACTGCATTTATGTCTAAGCAGCCACTAAAGCTTGCTATTCAAAGTGTTATTCCTCATGTGGGTATGGTGCCTCTGTCCGTATCCGCATGCCCTCTGGTTTGAGAGGATAACCTTTCGTTGTGGGCACAAGGTATTTGTAGTTTACTGTATGTTTTGCTTGCTGTCTTGTTGGCTAGGTCGCAAAGATGCGGCTTGGCGTTGTTGTTCATGCGACCTTTGCGGCGGCTTTTGCCACGGATCAGTTGGACGTTTGTTGCCAGGGACCGTTGCAAGTCGGCAGGCCCATGAAAAGTTCAGAGCAGTTTGTGTCATTATGGTTCTGCAGTGTTGCACTTGCCCCAGCCGACGGTTGCATGGTCACAGTGCTTGTTATGTGCAAGTAGCGGCCTTCGGCCTATCCCACCACCTTGGGTCGTTGACAAGAGGCTTTAAGAGAATGTTAGGGGCCTCTTGGAAAGCTTCTTGGGGCCTCTCTCAATCCTCTCCGTGGCATCTCTGAAGGTCTCCTTGGGGCACTCGGAGGTCTCCTGGGCGCCCTGTGATGGCATCGTGGGCGCCCTAGAGACCGAACAGGCGAGCATGCGAACATGATATGCAAACATAGCGCTGTTCAGCCGCAAGAGAGGCCTTCGGGGGTCCCCAAACGACCAATACAGTGGAGACCCATGCCAAGAAACACCCTGCTTGCCTCCAGTGTGCCCCGGGTTTCTTGGGTTTCGATGGTTTTGTCATGGAGAGCGTGACGCTTCCACTCCAAACATGTGTGGACGTCCTGGGGTCTCAGGGGTGAGTTTCTCGCGGAAGGCTTCTTGTAGTCGAACCCCTCTTGTGTAGCCCAGGGACCGATGCAGCCCCGAGGGCCCCCCATTGGAAGCCTCCGAGGGCCCCCGAGGCCCAAAGGACCAACACGGCGCTGCTCCGTGAGCTGGGGTTTCCCGTGCCGGCCCCCCGGGGGCCTCCAAGGCGGCCCAAGGGGGCCCCCGATGGAGCCACAGGACGGCCTCTGGGGGTCATCCTGGGGCCCGAGGCCTCCGAGGAGAGCCACGGGACGTCCTCTGGGCGCCATCCTAGCACTGGAGGCTCCCAAGCTAGAGCCACGGGACGGTTTTTGGGAGGCCATGCTGGGGCTGGAGGCTCGTGATAGAGCCATGTGGGCGGCTTTTCGGGGCCATCTTGAGGCTTGAGGGTACTCCACTCCGTGCCTCGCGACACGGTCACGGCTTTAGAAGTCTCTGCGTTTTTCTGTGTCTTTTTGTCAGACCGACCCTCCACCATTCTTGCTCCATCTGTTTCTTTCGCCTTTGACTGTGCCGTATTGTCTTGCTTCTTGCGTCGGCATTGCAGGTGGATTGGGCGTAAGCAGAATCAGGTTAGAAGCAGATGCTGATGGCGATGATACAGTCTGGCTCGGGAAGAGGACGACCAGAAGCAGGTGGAGGAGAACGAAAAGAAGGACGAAGGTGGAGAGGGGGGGGAGGATTGTGAAGGAGGGTGGAGGAAAGTGGTGCGGAGGGAAAAGGTTATTAAAATTGTGGGGAGGAGGAAGTTGGGAGCAGCAGGAGGGAGGTTCGAGACCTGACGGGCATATTTCGCCTACAGGAATTAAACATCAGAAGGTGAAGTGGGAAGGAGGACGAGAAACGTAGATGATGATGATGATGATGATGATGATGATGATGATGATGATGATGATGATGATGATGATGATGATGATGATGATGATGATGATGATGATGATGATGTGATGATATGCTGATGCTGGTGATGATGCTGATGCCTGATGCTGTGCTGATGCTGATGCTGATGCTGATGCTGATGCTGATGCTGATGATGATGATGCTGAATGAGATGCTGATGCTGTGCTGACTGCTGATGCTGATGATGATGATACTGATAATGATAATGATAATGATGGTGTGATGGTGGTGGTGGTAGTGGTGGTGGTGATGATGATGATGACGGTGATGGTGATGGTGTGTGTGATGGTGATGGTGATGGTGATGGTGCTGATGCTGATGCTGAGGCTGAGGCTGAGGCTGATGATGATGATGTTGATGGTGATGGTGAGGATGATGCTGCTGCTGCTGCTGCTGCTGCTGCTGATGATGATGATGATGATGATGATGATGATGATGATGACAATGACGATGACGATGCTGGTGATGGTGATGGTGGTGGTGGTGGTGATGGTGGTGTTGGTGGTGGGTGGTGGGTGTGGTGGTGGTGGTTGTGTGAAGGTGAAGGTGGTGGTTGTGATGATGATGGTGACGATGATGATGATGATGATGATGATGATGATGATGATGATGATGATGATGATGATGATGATGATGATGATGATGATGATGATGATGATGATGATGATGATGATGATGATGATAAGGACAATGATACTGATGATGATGAAGAAGAATAATAAGAAGAAGAGGAGGCGGAGGAGGAGGGAGGAGAGGGAGCAGGGAGGCACGAGGGAGGGAGGGGAGGGAGGCAGACTCGAGCGGGCACGCGGGGCGCGACGGAGAGCGGGGAAGAGGAGATGCACAGAGACAGAGGGCCGCGGAAGAGGGCGAAGCAGTGCAAGGCCCTGCCCCCGAGGGGAAGACCGGGGCGCCCCTGGGGGCGCGCAGGCAGTCGCGCTGCGCGGTCCTCGCCAGAGAGCGGCCCGTCCTTCATAGGGCCCGCGCGAGGGCGCGAAGGCGGTCGCGCGTCGGAGCGCCAAATTTGGCGACCCGCCCGGGTGAGACGCCGCTGTTTCTTCGAGCCTCGCTCGCGCGGGGAATAGGATCGGCGGCGAGCGAGGGGGGGGAAGTGAGGAGGAGAAGGCCTCTTCAGAGGGTGGCGGGGCTTCTCAGAAGCCCAAAGCCTTCTGAGGAGTTTCCTGGGTCTTCGGAGAAGGCCTCGAGAACTTCTCAGAAGGCCGGGGGACTTCCGAGCCTTCTGGGTAGGCCCGCCCTTTCCCACTTCCCCCCCAGGGCTCGCCGCCGATAGAACCAGCGTGTTGTGCCTGCATCTGTCCGCTGCAGGATCGCCACTCGCGCGTGGCCAGCAGCGCAGTGGATCCGCCGCCACAGTCAGCCGCCGTCGCCGCCGTCGTCTTCGTTGCCGTCGCCGTCGCCGCCGCCGTCGTCGTGGCCGTCGCCGCCGTCGTCGCCGTCGTCTGGGGACGGCCGGCCCCCGCAGGCCCTGCACGCGCCAGGAGCCCGCGCCGCCGGCGCCGGCGAGGGCGGCGACGCGCTCGATTTGGTCCAGGGCCTGCGCTCCAGGCAGCGCGTGCGGCCCCGCGCGCGCTTCCTCGGCCGGGCATGACGGGGCAGCAGCGGTCTTGCGCCGATGCAGGTGGGACGCGCACCAGTAGCCCGCTTTCGCTGTGCCGGGCTGGCCCGATGTTTTCGGGTTGGGATCAAGAGAGGCTCGCCATGATGCACGCCGGTCGTTGAGAGTAGATGTGCTTGGGTGTCCCAGTCCGAGTCTGCTTTGGACGCCTTCCTGCTTCATGAGTCGAGTGGTGCTCCCTCTGCCCTCCTCCTCAGGGGGCGGGCGGACGTCCACTCTGCTTTCAACGCCTCCCTACTCCACGCTTCTGCTGTGCCCACGTCTTCCGCCCGACGGGTAACGCAGAGGCTGCAGGCCCTGAGTCCGTCGAGATCCTTGGGCTTCGCAATCCGGTTCTCCTGTGGCCGACGTCTGCAGCGACGGGTAACGCAGGGGCTCCAGGCCCGGAATCCGTCGAAGTCCTTGGGCTTCGCGATGCGGTGCTCCGGTGGCCGACGTCTTCCGACTGACGGGTAACGCAGGGGCTCCAGACCCTGCATCCGTCGAAGTCCTTGGGCTGCGCGATGCGGTGCTCCGGTGGCCGACGTCTTCCGACCGACGGGTAACGCAGGGGCTCCAGACCCTGCATCCGTCGAAGTCCTTGGGCTGCGCGATGTGGTTCTCCCGTGGCCGACGTCTGCAGACGTGCTGCTGTGCCCCTTTGCCACACGGGATAAGTGCATTAGGACGGGGGGCCCTGAGGGGCCCATGCCAAGAAACACCCTGCTTGCCTCCAGGGTGCCCTGGGTGTCTTGGGTTTCGATGGTTCTGGTATGAAAAGCGCGACGCTCCCACACCAGAAAGCAGCGGACACCCCTGGGTCTCAGGGATGGGTTTCTTGTGGAGGGTTTCTTGTGGACTGGCCTCCACTGCACATGGTGGTCGCTATGTGGGGGAATGCTATTGCGTCTTGGGACAGTGGAAGGCTGGACTACGAGATCCAATGTACGACGATGTCTGGAGGGGACAGAGCCACGACGGGCCGGGAGAGTATCAGCCATATCGTTTGGGCGGGCAACGCGTTGTTGCTATCCCGAAGCCGTTTGCAACATGTCGAGATGATGACGCATTTCCCACGATGTCTTCTGCATTTCGGAATGAACGGGAAGGCCGACTCCCAGGGATCTCTTGGTGAGTAATTACCTGTGCATTGGGCCCTCGCTCCAGATAGATGCGGAGGTTACCATGTCTATTCCTCCCTCGGGCGGCGCGCTTTCCCACGCCGATGCATTGCGGTCGGACCGAGGTACAGGGTCGAAGTCGGCTCGGGGAGGGTACCCCGGTGTTCTTCGTGCTTGTCGCATGCTCTTGTGCATCCTGGGGAAGGATATCGGCGGCGAGCGAGGGGGGAGAAGTGAGAAGGAGAAGGCCTTTTCAGAGGGCGGCTGGGCTTCTCAGAAGCCCTCGCGCCTTCTGAGAAGACTTCTGTGTCTCCGGGGAAGGCCTCGAAAACTTCTCAGAAGGCCGGGGGATTTCCGAGCCTTCTGAGTAGGCCGGCCCTTTCTCATTTCCCCCCAGGGCTCGCCGCCGAGGATACCCTCGAGTGCTCTTCGCTTTGGGCCGGCGGAGGGTGGCATGCCCTTGCAGGATGTGTTCGACTACACGTAAGAGTGACCCTTCGCCGGAGTGACCTTTGGTGTGGGCCCATCGGGGTCCCGATCGCCGAACGCGAGGCGGCAGTGGCGTCTTGCGCGCTTGTGTTTGGCCCCCCCGCGGCCCCCAAAAAGACGCGCACCAAAGGTCACTCTTACCCAGGGTCACTCTTACGTGCAGCCGATGTGTTTCTGTCCTAGGTCCAGCCGTGGGCACATCATGCAAGAGCCTCCCTTGCCAGCCGGTGCCCCGCCGGCAGTTGGCCTTGGGGACTTGCAGAAGCCTTGGGGCATCTGGGGAAGTTCAAGGATTGACGACAGACGTGTCCCCAGGTCTCGAATGACAAGAGGTATGACCAGATGTATCCACTGTACAGAGATCTTGTGCCCCTCTCTCCTTCCCGCTTCCTTCACTGTTCTGTCTCACCTCCCATGCGCTCCCCATCGCTTCGTCTGTCCTCGTATTCATACCTTTCCTTCGTTTAGCCTTTTGGTGAACTCCTGCGTCTACCCTTGCTTCGCTTGTGGTGCATAGAGCTTTCAGTTCTGACAGACAATCGATTGTTTCAAGATCATTTCGATTAGGCCGCTGGATCATAAGTGGGGAAACAGGCCGCGCGCATGAAGCGCGAAGCGGCCGCCTTCCACTGATCAGGGAACATATATCGACCAGGGTATATCCGATCTGACCAGGGTATATCTGACGGCCTTCGGTCCTTGCCACTGACCCTCCCGCCCCTGGCATGGAGGGCTGATGGTCATCGTCATCATTTTGATGATGTTGTTGTGTCCCTCATCTGCGAAGCTCGCTAATGCCAAAATTGTGACTACGCTGTTTTTTGTCTGGCGCCCATCCGTATCTTTCCGGCGGGGGCGAGGCGTGAGTTTGCCTTCGTATTTGAGAGGCCAGCGGGCATTGGCCTGGCGTGGACATTGCCGCGGAGCCGGGTGATGATGATCGTCAGGTATCGCGGTGGAAGAGATTGGGCGCGTCCCATCGTTGTCCCAAGGGCGTGTATCGCCCAGGTGGCTGAGGGCCAGGTAGTGGAAAGGGGGGATGGGGGTTGTTGTTTGATTGTGGGGGGGGGAGGGGGGGGCGACACGTTTGAATACTGTCCCGCCGCTTTATACTAGAGTTCTAGTTTTTGTGTTCGCAAAATTTGCATGAATGTGCTTCCTCCTGCTCGTCACTAGCCTTCTCCGTCGAAGCCGCCTCTTCAGGTCCTTCTCTTCTCCTCCATCCTCCTCCAACCTCCTGGTCCTCCTTCCTCCATCCTTGTCCGCCCTCCTCCTTTGCCGTGTCCTCTGGTCCTTGTCCTCCTTCTTCTCGTCCTCCCTCCTCTTCTTTCCTCTTCCTCCTATTCCTCCTCCCTCCCATCCTCATTCCTGTCACCTCCTATCTCTGTGCGTTCCACCTCCCCCATTCGTGTTCCGTCCTCCTCCCTCTTCCCTCATGCTATGCCTTTTCCTTCTAGTCTCCTCCTCCTTCTCCTCCTCCTCCTCCTCCTCCTTCCTCCTCCTCATCCTCGTTCCCCTTCGCGCGTTGTCATCCTCTGCCTCCTCCGCCTCGCCGAGTCTGAGCAGCAGCGGGAAGGGAGATGGTCTCCAGAGGCCAGGGAGGCCCGAAGAGGGCCCAAGTCGTCTGAGAATGTGAGCCTTCGGATGTCGAGAGAGAGCCCCGCGCGAGAGGCTGAGATCCGCGGCCGACGCGGCGAGGGAGCGCTCCGCCGCCGAGGCAGCAGGGGGGGCGGGGGAAAAGGGGGAGCACACGGCTCAGCGGGAGCCACGTTGACAGTTGACAGGCAAGAATTGCGCAAGGAGGAGGAGGACGAGGGGGAGGGAGGAGGAGGAGGAGGAGGAGGAGGAGGGCGGAGGAGGAGCAGGAGGAGGAGGAGGAGGAGGAGGAGGAGGAGGAGGAGGAGGAGGAGGAGGAGGAGGAGGGAGGAGGGAGGAGGAGGAGGAGAAGGAAAAGAAGAAGAAGAGGGAGAGACAAAGAGGAAAGATGATAGAGGAGAGAGGCAAGCTTGGCGCGTTCGCGCCATACCGTGCATCTTATCCTTTCCACCCATCCGTTCCCATTGCGCTGACGTTTTTTATGTCCGCGGACGGGTGCCACAGCGGACCTGGACCCCCCAAGTGACCCGAACGCATTATGCACCAGAAAGGAGAGTTATGAACATTGGTGGTGGTGGCGGATGAGCCGGAGGATGAACAGGAGCATGAAGGAGGAGGAGGAGGAGGAGGAGGAGGAGGAGGAGGAGGAGGAGGAGGAGAAGGAGTAACAGCCGCAACGGCGGGAGCAGGAGGAGCGGAAGGAGTTGGAGGACCAGAGGAAGGCCGAGGAGTGGAAAGGGGAGCGACAACGACGAGGGAGGAGCCCGATCCAGAAAGCAGACCAGCGCTGTGACGAGAGCGCCACGTTGAAGGGCACGATCGCATCACCGATCCTGCAATTAAGGCCAACGCTGCAGCAGGAACAGCATGTTGGACGAATGAGCGTTCCGAACAACAGAGACTGTGAGTTACCACCTTTTGACATCCCGTGCGCTGAAGCACCGCAGGCGGGAGAACACCCGCTCCGCTCGGGTTGGCTCCGTGGAGAGAGAAGGGTCGTATCCATATTGAGTAAGTGCACAGAGGAGGAGGAGGAGGAGGAGGAGGAGGAGGAGGAGCAGGACGTAGCCATGGGCGGAACGGGACACCTACTGGGCCACACACCTGGGCCCTGCTTCGGAAGAATCGGTTCACCTACAGGGCCACGCATCGTGGCCTGCTTCTATGAATGGGGTTCATGGTTATGCGTATTCGTACTCTGGTCAGGCCGCCAGGTGAGAGGGCCTCCTCGTCTGTCGACGTTGCGCTCGCCTTGGCTTGACACGGATGCGTGTTTTCTAGGGCTTGCATTTGATTAAGGTTTCGCCCTGTCTGTTGCTGCGTTGGTCTCTCATTTCTGTGAACGCGGTCTGTGTCATCAGAGATGTCGGCACGCTTTTGACTCGTCGGGGCTTGCCTGTTCGGAGCGGGTGGCGGTGGACGAACCGAGAGGTGTGATCGATTCGGTCCTACCTCCTTGAATGATCAATGATCTAGCCAGGGGCGGGGTGTCTGAGGGTCGTGCGATTCCGAGCGGGGGGGGGAGTTCCCAGCCAGGGCGCAGCTTGCTTCGCCTTCCTGCGAGCGAGAAAGGGGAGAAGTCAGGCCGCCCGAGACCAGGACACTGGCTGACCAGGATTCTGGCAGGTCGGCGAAGCAGCCCCTTCAAAATCATGTTTTTTTGGCGCCCAGTTGCAGTCTCCACGATGTCTGAACCGCGCGGCATTGAGCACATTCCACGGACCCTGGCGGAGCAGCGGGCATGGCGACGCATACCATTGCAATGGGGCTGTGCGTCGTCTCAGGAAATTGCTGGGCCCTGCCGGCGACATCTGCGGCTGCCCTGACCATTGTCGTCAGCTGGTAGTGCATTGATTTGCTTCGCTGCACTGCAGGATTCGAGTCTATGTCTGGGTCTAAGGGGGGGGTGGCATGTTTTAGTGTCAATGTGCGGGTTTATTCCGCGAGTGTTGCAGTGATTTTGTTTGTGGCGTTGTCCCGCCCGTTGGCGAGTGTTGTCTCCCCAGGAGCTCCCCGGCGCTGGAAACGATCCTGCGGGGCTTTGGACTCGCTTGCGGCACCGTTGCCGTCCATCCTAGAGTGCATTTCTGTCCTGGGGCCAGCGCGTCGCCTTTCGCGCCGTAGCACTTGGCGCGATCGGCGCCCTCCATCGGAAAAATGGTTTCGAGGGGTGTTGGATGTCCTTGTTCAGCGAGTCTGGGCTAATGGGGGCCCTGAAGAAGAACCACGAGTAGGACGAGGAGAACGGGGGAGGCAAGCTAGGCGCGCTCACGCCATATACGAAACCTGACCCGTCCCACCCGTCCGCGCCCATGGCGTAGATTTGTTCATCCTAGAGGACCCTGATTGAAAAGGCTTTACGGCCCATGCCGCCGACCCAGAAGGACGACGACGACGACGACGACGACGCTGACGCTCTGAAACTCTTCTTGGGGCTCTCTTGTTTGGGAGCCTCATTTGTTGGGGCTGGGGCCCGGGCCGGGGCCAGGGCCAGGGCCGGGGCTGGCGCCGAGGCCGGGCCGAGGCGGGGCCGACAGGGAGGCCACCTTTTGGCCCCGAAGAGGAGGGGAACGAGGAAGGAAGCAGAGGAACAGCAGCACAGCACCGATCCAAAGGCGTGGCCAATGCTTCAGCGCGAGCACTGTTTTTGAAGGAGCGTTCCGATCGACGAGAAGCCGTAATGAAATGACGCACGCATATAGTACACAAGTGTACATATATACATCTACATACATATGTATACATATATATATATGTGTTTGTATGTATGTATGTATGTATGTATGCATGTATATATATATATATATATAGTTATACATATTTAATTAGACATACAAGATAATCAAATACGCCCCCCCCCTGGGAGCGTCCTGCACCTCCGTGGCATCTCGGGGCAAATCCCGGCGCCGCGCCCCCGGGCCTCCAAGCGAGGCCCCAAACGCCCCAGGACGGCCCAAAACGTCCCCAAGGAGCCCCAGGAACGCGAAAGGCCGGCCCAAGAAGCTCCCAAGCAGCCCAAGACAGACGGCCGACGGCTCTCCAGGCTCCCAGGAGGCCTCCGAGAGGCCCCAATAGAGTTCCAAGAGGCGTCCAGGGAGCGCCCGAAGAGGCCAAAAACGTTGATTGTCATGGGCTCTGTTGTGGGTTTCTAGCTTTCTCGCGTTTTCGAGCTTCCAACGCTCCAAGACGGCCTAGAAAGACCCCCGAGACCGCCCCCAAGCCCGCCCAAGAGCCCCCAAGACGGTTCCAAGACGGGCCAAGAAGGCCCCATGACGGCCCAAGAGCGCCCCGAGGCAGCCCAAGAGAGCCCCAAGATGGCACGAAAAGCCGCCCAACAGGGGGAACGTAAATCGACAATCCTGGCTTTTCGCTCCAAGAGGCCCGCAAGAGGCCCCAAGAGTCCCCTCAAGAGCTTGAAGAGGCCCCCAAGAGCCGCGAAGAGACCCAAAAGTGGCCCCAAAAGGCCCCAAATCAGCCCCCCAGCGGCTTCCAAAGTGCCTCCCGAGAGCCCCCTGCACGCCTCTTAGGCCCGCCTGATTCCTGCGCACTACATGTTAGGAGGCCCCACTTATTAAAAAAAGAGGATAAGAATATTGAAATCCAATGATTTTGTTTGGTTCCAGTTAATCCCGAGCCCCATCAAGACTTCGGGATCACATTGCAAAGATGTTATGGGAATACGGTTGAACTCTCTGACGCTGTGTTCGCACTCTCTTGGGTCGTCTTCGTGTTTTTTTTGGCTGCCCACCACCGTGAAGATCGAGATCCGATGAGTTCACCTGTCCAACCTAGCTAGAACGTCAGCGCGCGCGCCAAGAGAGAGCCAAAAGAGAGGACCTGCCCAAGCCTTTCGAGCGCTTTGCCTCAAGATGGCTGGCCCCTGCCGACAGGCTGCCAGCCTCATCGGCGTCGCAATCCACAAAGATCCCCGCGCTGCCCGGCCCGCTCGCTCCAGCGGGCGAGCGAGCGAGTGAGCGACCCTCCGAGCGAGCGACCGAGCGGGCGACCGAGCACGTAAAATGCACTGAGTGCCCCCACCCGACCCGCCCGGCTCGCTCGCTCGAGCGACCGAGCGAGCAGCATGCATTTACTGTCCCGCTCGGTCATGCGCTGGAGCGAGCTAGCGTTCGGGCGGCCGCTCGCTCGCTCGCTCGCCTCCTGGCCTGGCTGGCGGAGGCTCTCTGGTGGTGTGCGCTTTCCCCGCGCGCTGGCACGCCCTGGGCCCAGACACGCCCAGACTCCTCCGCCGCGCCGCGCAGGCGGGCGTGGATGCCGCGTCGCGCGCCAGCCGGCTGCAGAGCTTGCTGGACCCCATTCGCAGCGAGGCGAGGCGCCGTCGTGCAGCAGCGGGGAGCCATGGGCAGCCCGACCTCCTCCTCCTCCTCCTCCAATTATTAGCGTTATCATTGCTAGCACGACTACTACGACAACGACAACGATCACCCTTACAACTACGGTTGCCACTACGACTACTATTGCGATCAGTATTACGAGTGCTACTACTACTACTACTACTACTACTACTACTGCTGCTGCTGCTGCTACTACTACTTCTACTACTACTACTACTACTACTACTACTACTACTACTACTACTACTACTACTACGACTACTACTACTACTACTACTACGACTACTACTACTACTACTACTACTACTACTACTACTACTACTACTACTACTACTACTACTACTACTACTACTTCTACTACTACTACTACTTACTACTACTACTACTACTACGACTACTACTACTACGACTGCTACTACTGTACTACTACTACTACTACTACTACTACTACTACTACTACTACTACTACTACTACTACTACTACTACTACTACTACTACTACTACTACTACTACTACTACTACTACGATTTCCACTATTGCTACTACTACTTCTTCGACTACCAGTACTACTACTTCTACGACTACCACTACTTCTACTACTATGACTACTACTACTACTACTACTACTACTACTACTACTACTACTACTACTACTACTAATACAACTACTACTAACTACTACTACTACTACTACTACTACTACTACTACTACTACTACTACGACCACTACTACTAACTACTACTACTACTACTACTACGTACTCACTACTACTACTACTACTACTACTACTACTACTACTACTACTACTACTACTACTACTACTACTAACTACACTACTACTACTACGACTACTACTACTACTACTACTACTACTACTACTACTACTACTACTACTACTACTACTACTACTACTACTACTACTACTACTACTACTACTACTACTACTACTACTACTACTACTACTACTACGACCACTACTACTACTACTACTACTACTACTACTACTACTACTACGACTACTACTTCTCTTTCGGCGAATACTGCTACTAGTACGACTACGACTGCGATTACGACTACGACGATCATTACCATGATTATTATTAGTAGTACGACCTTTATTATTACGACTACGACTACTACTATTGCTACACCGATTACTACTACTACTACTACTACTACTACTACTACTACTACTACTAGTGTTCATATTGCTACTACTACTACTACTTCTTCTTTTCCTGATACGAATACGATTACTTCTTCCACTACTAATACTACGACTACTACTACTACTACTACTACTACTACTACTGCTGCTACTACTACTACTACGACTTCTACTACTACGACTACTACTACTAATATTACTACTACTGCTACTACCCTACTACTACTACTACTACTACTACTACTACTACTACTACTACTACTACTACGACTACTACGACTACTACTACTAATACTACTACTACTACTACTACTACTACGACTACCACTACTACTACTACTACTACTACTACTACTACTACTACTACTACTACTACTACTACTACTACTACTACGACTACTACTACTACTACTACTACTACTACTACTACTACTACTACTACTACTACTACTACTACTACTACTACTACTACTACTACTACTACTACTACTACTACTACTACTACTACTACTACTACTACTACTACTACTACTACTACTACTACTACTACTACTACTACTACTACTACTACTACTACTACTACTACTACTACTACTACCACCACCACCACCACCACGACTACTGTCACGACCTATTAGCCGTACTAGCATTACCATTCTGATTGCCAACATTACCTTGTGCGAATGTCATTCCCCAGTCCCTCCTCCGTTTGAATACGGTTATCGTGTCTCCTTGGATATTGTGCTAGCGGGGTGCCGTCTTTTCTTCATATTGGTTATGGGGGTGCAGAAGATTTGATTCCTTGATGGTGTGTTTGCGTTTCTCCCATCGGAGCGCGATTGGTGTTTCAAGATGGTGTTCCCGATCCAGCGTTGGCCTCATTTCATGCTTGGCGTTTTGCTCCCGTCGTTCGGAATGGCGCTCTCGACCCAGCGCGGGACACATTTCTGGATCCGATGATTTCCTTGTCGTCGTCGCCCCCCTCCTTTCCCCTACTCCGATTCCCCTTACGTAACTATGTCTCCTGTTCCTCACGCTCCTCCCACTCTTGCTGATGTTCGCCCGCTTTTCACATCCTTCCTACATTCCTGCTCATCCTCCTCATCCGCCACCGCCTTCTCCAATGTACAGAGCTCCCCTGTCTGATTGTGCATCTCATGATGGGGTCACTTTTGGAACCCTGGTCCGCTAGGGCACCCACAGCCAGATCCAGAAAACATCAGCGCAATGGGAAAGCACGGGTGAGGGGGAGGCAAGATGTTTGATGTGGCTCGCGCGCACTTAGCTTTCATTCCCTCCTTTCTCCCTTCCTCCTCGTAGGCAGCGGAGTTGCCCAGAGCTTGACCGGGTTTGGCTAGAGGACAGGCGTCGCACGGGGAGTTTCTTGGACCCCAGTCACATGCATGGGAGGGAGATGTCTCTCATGTTCCCTCCTCCCCCTTCCTCCGCCCCCAATCCCCTCGGAGAAGGTAGCACCAGCTGTTGCGGCAGGCTCGCTCCGCGGCGAGGCGTCCGCGACGCCAGCGAGGGCTCTCCAGAATGAAAGGCCACGAGCGGCTGGAACTGGGCCAACCTTGAACGATCTCCGCTGTCAGATACAGTCGGGGCCCTGAAGAAGGAACCCTTTTGGTTGGGGAGGGGCTCCGCGTTCCTCAAGTGTTTCACACCTTGCCTCAGGCTTTCCTTATGTTTCCGACAGGAAATCGAAGGTTAACTTATGGAAAAAAGGGGCCTCGTTCCTTATTTAGGGTTCCTTAGGTCAACGCCCCGACTGTAGCGGAGCTCGATCGAGCTTGAGCGACCAATGCGGCGTCAGAAATCAGCGTCGTTAGGCCGATCCCCAGCCCCACCGGGCAACGGTGTCCCACCCCCACCAGCCCACCCCCGCAGGTGAGGATAGGCCCCACGAAGCCCGAAGGGAGCAGCATCTACTCTCACATAGGGGGGTAAGTCGGCCAGGAGTGCTAAGGCCACGCAGGTGGGGATAGGGATCTGCCACACGATGTTCAAGAAACCAACGTCCACATGGCTACAATTGGATTCAGTCCTTGTCGGCGGGAGGAGGCGGCTGAAAGTCAGCAGGAGGGATAGGATAGACCGCCCCTCCCCTACACAGGCCTGTCTGGCTTGATTGTGCTCGTCTGTTGGAACTGCTGGAAGCCATTTTTTTGCGAACGACACTCGAGGCCCAAGGAGGCCAAACCTGTTGGACCGCTTTACCTACCTATCTGGCACGGGTCGGTTTTTCAGTGTCTGCAGTGCCTGGGGGTCGCGTCGGATTGGACCTCCACCCCTTGCCAATCCCTCGTTCCCACCATGAGTTCCCTCCATAGGGGGGGCGGGGACAGGGCATAAGTTGCACTGGGCTCGGGCTGTGGGATGTTCCGATAATTTGTTGTGCGTTTTGTGTGGGGGGCTCGGTTCGGTTCAATCCGATAAGCTGTCCAAACCCTGTTTGAATCCGAAGCGTTCGTCAGAGCGGTCAAAGCTCCTGCGAGGGCTCCAGCTACACCTTGGGGCAAGTCTCTCCCCTCGTTTCCCTTCCGTCTTGTCCTTTGCCTCTTTTGCGTTCCTTTCCCCCTTGCCTTCCTTGCGTTCCTTTGCGTTCCTTTCCCCATAGCGCCTCTTTGCCTTCCTTTGCGTTCCTTTCCCCATTGCGCCCCTTTGCCTCCTTTGCGTTCCTTTCCCTCCTCCTCCTCCTCCTTGCCCCAGTGGAGTAGCCCTTAAGTTGGGTGCCTGCGGGCGGGGCGGCTGGAGACAACGGGCAATGAGTCCATTGCCAGAGTTGCCCCGAGACTGGTCCCGATGGCTGTCCCTGAAGGGAGTGGATTGGCGTTCGCATTTGCATTGATTCGCCAATGCGGCGTGCATGTGCATTTGCATTCATGTGCGTGTAGTGCGGTGCCGGTTGCTCCAGGAGTCTGCGAGGTCTGCGAGAAGAAGGAGGAGGAGGAGGAGGAGGAGGAGGGGGAGGATGGGAAGGAGGAGGAGAAGGAGGAGGGGGAGGAGGATAGAGGGGAGGAGGAGGTGGAGGAGGAGGACGAGGAGGAGGACGAGGAGGAAGGAGGAGGAGGAGGAGGAGGAGGAGGAGGGGGAGGAGGAGGAGGGGGAGGAGGAGGAGGGAGGAGGAGGAGGAGGAGGAGGAGGAGGAGGAGGAGGAGGAGAGCAGGAGGAGGAGGAGGAGGAGGGGAGGAGGAGGAGGAGGAGGAGGAGGGGAGGAGGAGGAGGGGGGGAGGGCAGGAGGAGGGGGGAGGGCAGGAGGAGAAGGAGGAGGAGGAGGACGACGACGACGAGGACGAGGAGGAGGAGGAGAAAAAAGGAGGAGAAGGAGGGGGAAGAGCGGGAGGAGGAGGACGAGCAGGAGGAGGAGGAGCAGGAGGAGGAGGAGGATCTGGAGGATCTGGAGGAGGATCTGGAGGAGGAGGATGGAGGAGGAAGAGGAGGAGGAGGAGGAGGAGGAGGAGGAGGAGGATAGGAGCTCGAGGATCGCGATCCACGCAGGCACGGCTCCCTTCCCACGGCCAACCCCAGAGGCTTCCCTCTCCCAGACGGTATCCTCCGCTGGGCAGCTCTCCTCCCCGTACGGGCGCGCTGAAGTGGCAGATCCCCCCCCCGTGGCGAACCGCAGGCCCGCTGGCCCACGCCACACGCCCGCAGCGCGCAGCAGAAGGCAGCCGCGCCCACTTCCCTGTGCGCTCCCCTTCCCCGACCCCGAGCTCCTGGCGTCGCATTTGTTTGCTCACGCCGAGCGCTTTTGCTCGTTGTGGGGGCCCTGGGGTCCTCGCAGGTCGATCCTCCTCGGAACATGGCGCCGAAAGAGGGGGGTTCGGGGCTCCCGGCGCGATCTTCGCAATGTTGAATTTTTTTTCGCAACGTCGGATCTCAGGGGAGCTAGCAGGAGAAAGAGAGTTGAACCCTTGCGGGGCACATTCGTAAACGAAGGGGGCGGTAGGCGAGGGCTTGGGGTGTGCATGCTTTGACCGGCACGCGGGCAATGAAGAACGATTGGCTTTAGCATGTGAATGTAGTCAGTGTTCATCTCTCTCACTCTCTCTGTCTCTCTCCCTTTCCCCGTCCTCCTTCTTGTGGCCCTCCCTTCCCTTAATTCCCCACACACAAACCCCCCTTCTCCTCCCGTCTCCATACCGCCTCTCCGCGCAGCCCTCTCCAACCTTTCGCATCCCGTGTGGCCTCTCCCACCTACATGATGGACTGGACGCGTGCCAAGATTTCACGCTGAATGCGGCTTGCTGCAGCACCTCGCATTACAGCCGTTTGGCCCGCTCTCTCACGACGTCCACGGAGTGCACTGTGGCCCCTGCGCGCGCCTCGGTCGGAGGCCAGCTCCGAGATCGACGTCTGCCTCGCGGAGCTGCGCGCCGCGTCCAACGACGCGCGGCGGCTGCGCGGCGGCGAGGCGGGCCAGGGGGGCAGCCTGCTGCACTCATCTCCAGGCTTCAGAGCGGGCGGATGTTCCGAGCAACGCTGGGCACAGTGCAGGTTCACCTCTTCAGCCTCCGCCGATCGCGTTGGGCCCCTTGGCGGCCCGAAGTGCTTCTCCAGGCTCCGCGCTTTGGAGGGCTTCTGTGCACAAACGCACGCTAGTGTTGATAGGGGGCCACATGCGAACCATACCCCTACCCCCCACGATTTCTGAGGGGGAGTGTGGGGTTCACTTCGTTCGGGAGCTCCCGAGCGAAGTGAACCCCACCCCTCCCCCTCAGAAATCGTGGGGGGTAGGGGTAGGGTTCGCAAGTGGCCCCCTAGTTGACACGTTTCTCCAGATCGCTTCAGAGGCTCGAGACTGGGTGGCGATGGGCAAGCTCGCATTGGGCACCGTCGTCGCCCCCTGCTCCTCCCCCTCCCCCTGCGCCTTGGCATCGCTCGGACGTGTGCATTTTTCCTTCGGCGAGGACCATCGAGGAGCATCCTTGATCATTTGGCGAAGAAACCACGCACAAAACCGAAAAAAGCACAGGGAATGGACGTCCGAGCGCTGGCGAGGTGCCCATCTTGGCGCGGGGATGGGCCACCTTGGCACCTCCGGAGGCCTGCCTGATGCCATCTCCGCCGAAAGGCTCTCTGCAAAGGAAGCACCTAGGATAGTTTGGAGTTTTCCGCGTCTCTCCCAAAAACAGTGCCGGACTTGCTGAGGGGATGCTTCTTTTTGCAGCTGGCATTGCAGGGTGCACGCATATAATTTCATTTCCAAAGACGCGGACTGGCCACACTCCCGAGGACAGACTAATCGGTTCCCTTCGGCATTTAGCAAGTTACAGATGATGTTGTTTCACCGCGCATTTTATGAATTCATATTGTCACAGGCGAGCCAGTATCAATCATACCATGCGCGCGCTCGTCTCCCCTATATATATATATATATATATATATATACACGTGCATCTGGCTCAAGAACCTTTGTAAAGCATACATTGGGATCCACACTCGAGCGCACATGTCGAAATCATTTCGTACACATACCCGTCGGTCGTTGGGAGTATATATGTATATATGTGGTCGAGGGTTTGGGCCCCCCCCCAATGCTAATGCCATCGGCCCCCCCCCCGCGCGATGGCCCCCCCCCTGTGGGCGTGGGCGTGGCGTGGTGGCTCCCCCCCCCCTGTGGATGTGGTGTGGGTGTGGTGTGTTGCTGTGGGTGTGTGCGGGGTGACGCCATGGTCCTCCTCCCCCCCTGCCTTCCCCCCTGTGGGTGCGGTGTGGGTGCGGCTTGTGGCTGGGATTGGCGTCATGCTGACAGCTCCGGTGCTCGACGTCGTCGCCGCCGCTGGTGGTGCCGTCGATGTCGTCGTCGTTGTCGTCGTCGTCGTTGTCGTCGTCGTCGTTGTCGATGTCGTCGTCGTCGTCGTCGTCGTCGTCGTCGTCGTCATCGCCGTCGTCCTCCTCCTCCTCCTCCTCCTCCTCCTCCTCCTCCTCCTCCTCCTCCTCCCCACCCCCCATCCCATCTGGGGGGGGGGGGGACCCGAGGACCCTAGGACCCATCCCATCTGGGGGGGGGGCCCGGGGGCCCGGAGCCCGCGATCATATATATGTATATATATATAGATATATATGGATTTGTAGATCCCAATATACTTCAAGCGCCTTCCCCACTCTCAATCGATATGCCTTGTTAATATGGGAAGACCTGAACCCAATCTATTAGATCCGCCTTCCTACATCATGTGTTTGCCCACTTCTTTCGACTGACGTGTAAAGGTTGCAAGCTTTCTTTCCTACGTGATCATTAACGGAATCTTACTGATGGTATCGCTCGGATGTGTGCATGTTTTCCTTCCGGCGAGGACCATCGAGCAAAAAGCACACGCACGAAATCGAAAATTGCACGGGAAATGGACGTCCGAGCGATGGCGGGCAATGGTGGTCTACGGAACTGGGCGGCGATGCCAGTCTGGCAGTTATGCGGCCGCCGTCGCCGCCCCATCGCTGGGCGGCACTGCCGGTCTAGCGGCTATGTGGGTCCCGTCGTTGCTTCGCCATACATATATTACTTTTGCTAAACAACGAATTAGGACCTACTTCTCATTCACCCAGTCTTATCGCTGCCACATGAGTTTGTTCAAATTACATGGATGTGATTGTGCCCATCATGAATTTCGTAGCACCCCATCAAAACCCGTTATCGCCCCCTCTTCATTTGTGACAAAGTATACTTTGTGCGCGCACTTGTTCGTCAAAAGCATTAATGCCCCCAAATCAAAAATGCAAAATCGAGGTTCCTGAAGACATCTAAAACAAGTGTATTGCAACACGATGTTTCAAAAAAGTCTGCTCGCGCGCTTTTGCGAAGTCAGATGAAGCCATAGGTCCTTCAAAACTTTCCACACATGCGACCAAGTGGACCCCTGTCGCGCGAATGCCGAACTCATTCGAACGCCCTTGTGCGCGTGCTGGGGGGGCACGATCCTTGTCAAATGGTACCATGAGGGCCACTCGCGCCCGTCGGTCGCGCGTGCATGTCGGAATCTTGCCAAGACTTTTTTATCACCGACGTGTGGACACCATCATCGTCATCGTCGTGATCACAATCGGCGCCGTCATTGACTTTGGCTACTATCATCATCGTGTCTGTCGTCGTCGACGTCACCATTATACCGCGCCCGCCCGAGTCACCGACTCGCATTGAAGTGCCCGCGCGCCAGCGCGGCCTGCGAGACGCGCTGGGAAGTCCCCAGCGGTCAGCGCCACCGCGGCCGCGTCGGTCGCGCCAGACTCGTTGACCGCTCTGCGCACGAGTCTGTGCGCGCTAGTGCGGCCGCAGCGATACGCCAGCCAGCGCCAAGCAGTCATCGCAATCGCCGCCGCGTGAGTTTTGCAAATCAAGTTGCGGGTGGGTGGGTAGGGTGATTGAACGAGAAGTGGAGTTGTTGACAACCTCAAGCCAGCAATGTGCATTGTTTAACATAACGAAATTATGAAATTAGATTCCACCCCATCACCCCCCACGGACTTCACGGCCCATTTTTTCGTATTCCCATGCGCATATCGTATCATCCCAGCCAGGCCGGAATTCGCCCGCCCCCCCCCCCCCCCCCTCCTCTGCAAGAAGTTCTATGCGCGCACACTCGTTTATCAAAAGTCATCGGTGTCCAAGAATCTGTTTGCAAAAAAAGGTAACGACGTGCGCACGCGCGCGTCGTCGCGCGCGCATGGCGAAATTGTTCAAGACCAAGGTGTCGTAAGGATTTCCCAGTCGAGAGCCACGAAAACATATAATTACATATGGTTTCGCAACAAGTGCTTTCACAAAAAAACTGCGCCCGCGCCTTTGCGACTCCTTCAGAAAGCCAAGTCCTTTCAACAGCTTGAAAAAATGCTACCAACTCGCGCGCGCATGTCGAGATCGCTCGAACGCCCTTGCACGCGTGCTGATGCAAGAATCCCAAACAAAACCTGGGGCGCAGTGCACGCGCGCGCGCCGTCGCGCGCGCATGCCGACATCTGTCAAAAACCATGGGTTTCACATTGTCCGTGCAAAAGAATGCGCCCGCACACTTGCGAATTCTTCAGAAAAGAATAGGTTTTCAACATGTTATATCACGCTGTCAAACGAGCCTCTCGCGCAGCATGTCGAACTCATTCAAAAGCCCTTGCGCGCGTGCTTTGGGGGGGGCGCGATCCGCGTTAAATAACGCGAAGCGGGCCATAGGCGCCGGCCGCGCGCGCGCATATCGAATTTGCTCAAAAATCTTCATCGTCGACGCGAGGACATCATCATCGTTATCTTGCCGTCACCATCATCGTTACTCTCATAATCGTGTCTACCGTTGTCGGCGCGGCCATGATACTGCGCCCGCCCAAGTCGCCGTCTCGCATTGAAGCGCCCGCTTGGAAGATCTTGGAAGTCCCCAGCGGTCAGCGCCACCGCGACCGCGTTGGTCGCGCAAAACTAGCTGGCCGTTGTGCGCGCCAGCATGCGCGGGCCAGCGCTGCCGCAGAGACGCACCAGCCAACGCCAAGCAGTCATCGCAAGCGCCGCCGCATGGCAAACCAAGATGCGGATGGGCGGGTGGGATGTTTGCACAAACGTGGAATGAGTCAATTCGTTTGTAATAATCATTTGCGCTGCATATATAGTGCACCACGTAGATTCTGCTTTCTGAAAAGAAAATTGACTCGACCCCTTCCCCCGGGATTAGCAGTAACCTTTTTCGTGCTGCAATTTACATGTGGTTTTGCCCGATCGTCCATCCTGAGTATGAATTCGTATCATTCCAGCCCAGCCGGCATCGACCCCCCCCCCCGCCATCCTCAGCAAAAAACGCAATGCGCGCGCATTCGTTTATCAAAAAAACATTTGTTTTCCAGAATCCCGTCCAAAAGTGGGACGACGTGCGCACGCGCGCGTCGTCGGGCGCGCATGCCGAAATCCTTCTAAACCCTTCGGTTTCGCAAGGATTTCAGAATCGATTGTCCAAGAAACAAATACAAACACAGGGTTTCGCAGCACGGATTTCCAAACTGAATTTGCGCGCGCTCTTGCGAATTATTCAGAAAACCAGGGGTGTTTCAGCATGTTCATACAATGTTACGAGGCGGGCTTCATGCGCGCGCATGTCGAAATCGTTCGAACGCCCCTGCGCGCGTGCTGGGGTGGCACGATCCGTGTCAAATAGTACCATGCGGGCCACTCTCGCGCGTCTGTCGCGCGCACAGGTCGAACTCCTTCCAAAACCTTCGTCATCACCGACGCGAAGACGCCGTCATCGTCGCCGGCGTGATCAGCATCGGCGCCGTCATTGGCTGCCCCGTCGTCGTTGTCTGCATCGCCATCACCATCGCTACTATCATCATCGTGTTTACCGTTGTCGTCAATGCCATGATACCGCGCCCGCCCAAGTCGCCGACTCGCACTGAAGTGCGCGCTGGGATGTGCCGAGCGGTCCGCGCCACCGCGTTCGCGTCGGTCGCGCCAAACTAGTTGGCCGGCCCGCGCGCGCGATCATGCGAAGGCTAGCGCGGCCGAGTAGTTGCACCAGCCAACACCAAGCACTCATCGCAATCGCTTCCGCATGGCTTCTACAAACCAAATTGTGGATGGGTGGGTGGGGTAATTGTGCGAGCACCGGAGTTGACAACTTCAAGTTCGGCAAGTGAATTGCACCGAATCGATTGCACCACCTGCGGCGCACCACATAGTTTACACCACATGGATTGCACCATGTAGACTGCACCATTTACATTGCGCACCGCAAAACCACATTGATAGCACCACATATATCGCGTCACGTAGTATGGTATAGAACACGGTTCGTGGTCGATGAGGGCTGACATGGAATCAACAAATCATGTGCATTCAGCAATGTCGAACTTGGGGGCTTTCTGCACGCGAACAGTTCCCCATCACCCTCATCAGCGCCACCGCATCACCGCCATCATTTTCATCGCCAATCGCCGACATTGCGGCCATCATTTTTAAAGTCACGTTCGTCACCGTCATACGCACATCGTCGTCGTCATCGTGGCCAGAAGCATCGGCGCCGCCATCTGCTTTCCTCGTCGTCGTCATTTTCATCACCACAACCGCTACTATCATCATATTTGCCGCCGTTGCTGGCGACATCATGATATCGTACCCGCCCACGGCACCGACCCGCACAAACAAAGGGCGCGCCAGCGCGACCTTTGAGATGCGTTGGGGGGGCCCCATCGGTAAGCGCCATCGCGGCCGCATCGGATGCGCTAGGCAGCGCCAAGCAGTCCCAACAATGGTGGCCGCATGAGTTTCGCCAAACAACTTGCGGGTAGGAGGGTAGGATGTGTGCGTGAGCAGTGGGTTGGACGCCTCATTTGTCGCGCTAGTTGCTTGCAACACGTGGGTTGCAGCCCAGAGGCTGAACCACACATCTTGCACCACATAGATTGCACAGCATGCATTTCGCACTTAACATTAACCGCTGGCACTAAGAGCGCTCGTGCCGCACAACCTGCGCAGCATGCGATGCGCCCCTCATTCCCCAGACAGTGCTCGACTGCCTGTCATAAAGAGCTGGGCTCGTCTGGCGGCCCAGTGGCTCCGTAGTCGCCGTGGCCGCCCCGTCGCCGCCTCGTCGCCGCCTGTCGTCTGGGCCTCTGTGGCGGTCTGGCGGTTCCGTGGTCGCCGTCGCCGCTCCGTCGCCACGTCGTCGCCGCCCATCGTCTGGGCCTCTGTGGCGGTCTGGCGGTTCCGAGGTCGCCGTGGCCGCCCCGTCGCCGCGTCGTCGCCGCCCGTCGTCCGGGCCTGCATTGCGTTGCGTTGCATCGCCTTGCATCGTGTTGCATTGTTTTGCTCTGCTATGCATTCCTTGCGTTGCATTGCCTTGCCTGGATGTATATCGCATCGCATTGCAACCGCATCAAGTTGAAAGCGCATTGCGCTTCATTGCGTTGCATTGCTTTGCATTGTTATCATGTGCCCTGCATTGCTTCACATTGCGTTGGTTTTCTCTGCAGAGGAAAAGCTCAACCCCCCCAGGGCCAGGGTAATCGGCGCCCTAGGACATAGTAAATTATGTATACGATTCTGCTTTATCGCTCATGCTCCATATGAAACCATACCACCCAAGCCATAACATCACTGGCTTTCCCAGTCGTCCGTGTCAAATGATACCATACTTTTTGATCTGCGGCCCCAAGGAAGGCTCCAGAGGGCGGGTCAATCGGGCTGACTGGGGCACAGAGCCAGATAATTTGCGAACCCAGCCGTCACTGTTTAAAAAAATGATACCATACGCGCCCAGTCGTTTATTTGAAGTGATAGTTGTTCAAGAACCGTTCGCCAAAAAGGACCACCAGGCCTACACGAGCGTGCACATGGCGAAATCAGACCAGAGACATTATTGCTGCGAGCATTTCAACCTACTGGTGTTCCAATCAATGCCTTGCAGTTGTTCTGCACGCGCGCAGTTGATGACGTGTCAAGAAAACCATTTGATGTTGCCAGTCTCGTCTAGAACCCGTAGTGCCATTTCACCACGCGGTGGATCCACGTTGATCTGACATGCGCCCGCTGCACGAATCCGTATCAAAGAATTCCATGCGGGCCACATGCACGCGCTGCCACGCGCGCGTGCTGAAACTCGTTCAAAACAATAGGCTTCTGAACCTAGCCAAGATAGTGCTCGTCGAAAGCATATGACACAGCAACAATTGTCAATACATTGCCAGATGTACTGAATTTCTGCTCGCGCGCACTTCTCCATCATCTTCATCATCATCGCAGTGCATCACCGCCCGTTTCGTCATCGTCAATCGCCGCCATTGCCGCCATTGCCGCCATCATCATCGCAATCGCCTTCATCACCGACGCATGGACGTCATCATCGTCATCGTCGTCACCAGCATCGGTGCCGTCATTGACTTTGCCTTCGTCATCGTCACCATCGCCGCCACCATCGCTATTTTCACCATCGTCGCCGCCATTGTCGACGCAATCATCATATCGGGCCCACCCGAGTCACCGACCCGCACTGAAGCGCCCGCGCGCCAGAGTGGCCGAATGGGTTTTGCCGAACAAGTTGCAGGTGTGAGGGTGGGATTATTGCGCGAGCAATGGGCTGACGATTTCAAGGACACCATAACAATTAATCGCGCCACGCAGAGCGCATATCGAAAGTGTAAGTATCGTTTGCGTGGGGCCCGCGAAGGCAATACCTGTTCACCACATAGCTTTTGGGGCGCCTCTTGCGGCCTCGGTCGGATCTAGAATTGCATATTGTGATTTCTGCTGTGCCATCTAGCCATCTTGCTGGGCTGTCCCTGGGCAACTTGCAGCCCTCGTGAGTCGATATTGTGCCAGATAGGGTGCGAGTTTCTGAACGGGGGTGTTGGAACGGGCGGGGCGCCTTCTGAAAACAAATCTTGCCCACAGCTAAGGGTATTATCGTATGCCTCAACGTTCGAAGGCCCGGTGGCGGATTCATGGCAACCGCCGACCTTTATATTTCGGCCACCACAGATGTATCAATGGGTCGCCCTCCTCCATCGTTTAGTTTGTTATCTTTGAGCCAGAGCCGAGGCGATTGTGCCCCAAGACTTCAGCTCGTGCCCATCGATCGCCACGAAGCGTAGTCGGACAGGGCTAGGACGAGGATTAATCCGTCCCAGAGCTCTCAGAGCGTTCCTGAACGCTCTGAAAAGTGCGGTGCGCCCAATACATCCCCCAGAGCCGCGGGATCTCAGAGATTCTCCATTTATCCTCACCCGGATTTATCCTCGTCCTGGCAGTTATGAGTTATGAGTCGTGCCACGCGTCGTTTCACGTAGCAGTTGTGAGTCGTGCCACGCGTGCGCGGTGGTCCGGATGCTCCCCGCCCCGCCGGACGCAGGAGAAGCGCGCCGCGCTCGAGCTCCGGAAGGCGGCGGAGGACCGCCGCGGCGCCGCCCCGAGGCCGACGTCGGCGGCGCGCAGCGTGGAGGGGTTGGCGCGAGGGGGGGCGCCCTCTTCTGGTCGGACGAGCTCCTCCTCCTCCTCCTCCTCGTCCTATTCCTCCTCCTCCTCCTCCTCTTTCTCCTCCTCCTCCTCCTCCTCCTCCTCCTCCTCCTGCTCCTCATCCTCCTCCTCCTCTTCCTCCTCCTCCTCTTTCTCCTCCTCCTCATCCTCCTCATCCTCCTCTCCTCCCTTCCTCTTCCTCCTCCTCCTCCTCCTCTTTCTCCTCCTCCTCCTCCTCCTCCTCCTCCTCCTCCTCCGTAGCCATCTTGGCTCAAGGCCAAAATGGTGACTTCTTCACTGCCGATCTGGGGTAGGCTCCCACAGCTTTCAGTGCTCTTCGCATTTGCAGCCACACCCACGGGCGAGCTGCCGCCCACCGCAGCTACACTCAGGGGCGAGCTGCCGCCCAGTCCATATCCCTCCCTCGCGTGGCTCGCGAGAGCTCCCTGGGAAGCAGTGGGACGATGGCCGCCGCAGACCGCGGTGGAGGGACCGCCCCTGCTGACGGAGGAGCTGCCGCCAATGGCGGCACCAGGCCGCGGCGTGCACGCCCTGAAGTTGGACGAGGCTCGCCAGCAAGGTTCGCTGGCCAGTTCACGGTCTGCAAGCAGTGTCGATACCGATGGACGTGGAAGGGGAAGTCCGAGTGTTTCTACTGTGGCAAGCAGCTGGCCCCATCACCAGCCGAACACCGCCAGCCCACAGGGGCGTGGGCAGGAGTCAGCAAGCCACCGCCGTGGAGGGAGCAGCCAGCGGCCGTCGCCCCGACCAGGGACGCCATCATCGCCACGCTCAGCACGTTCCTCAGCGACGCCAAGCACGCCGAACTCGTCGGCAGCCTCAAGGACGCCCTCCAGCAGCCCGACAAGCCGCAGCCTGCCCGCACTGCAGAGCAGGTGCTCCAGTCGGCGCTGTCAGTCCTCACAGACAGGGAGAAGAAGTTCAAGCAGTCGGTCGACGACGTCGAGGCCGCCAAGCAGTGGTACGACGACGCCGTGGCCAAACAAGAGCAAGCCGCCCTGGACCTCGTCCAGGCACAGAACGCATGCGCCAAGGCGCAAGCGGACCACAGCGCCAAGCTTGCTGGAGTTGCACGCGGAGCACCACCAGTGGGACCTCAGGAAGCCTTCAAGGTCGACAGCTCTATGTGGGACGACCTCTCCATCTACGACGAGGGCACCCGCGCCCAGATGGAACAGTGGAAGCAAGAGCTCGACCAGCGCCTGGCCGAGCTCAACAATGGCCAAGAGAAAGTACGTGAACTCCTACGCCAAGCCAAGGAGTCCACCACCAACCCAGCGAAGCGGAAGAAGCCTTGTGGGGAGGTACCAGCTGCTCAGCAACCTCATCCTGGACCTGCTCCCGCTTCACCAGAGGAACAGAAGCCAGCGGCCGCACATGGAGGACAGGAACAACCTGGCACGCCAGGAGGCCCTGCCGCCCCACCTGCTGAGCCACGCCAGCCTGGAGGGGCCGCCCCTGCCGCCGACGAGCCCACTGCGGAGGACTGCAAGGCCGCCGCCGACCTCATCGCCACCACCACCAGGGCCAGGGAGCTGGCCCACGCAGCTAAGGGCTTGGGCAAGGGCGCCACCATGGCGCCAGCGGCAGCGGCAGGGGCCCCACCGTCGCGAGGGTAGCCGCAAGCGGCCGCAGCGGCCGAGGGGGCATGGGAACCGCGCCAGGGGGCCCCCCACGGCAGGTGCACCCGCCCCAGAGCCCGAGCAGGCGGCCCCCTGTTCGGCAACATAACGGCGTGGGGCCCGCAGGCCGCCAACTTTTGTCGCAACGCAGGCTTCAAGTACCACCTCATAGCGCTGGCGGAGACGCACGTCGACGCGAACGGTATCACGGAGCAGATTGGCAAGCTCGCCATGGCCGCGGTGTCTACCAACAGATCGGACAAGGGGACCCATGGCGGCGATGGAACGGCACCATCCTCACCGACCCGAGCTGCGAGGCGACGTGCGACAAGGGCTCGGGCCCCGTGTACGATTACGCGATCGCACGGGCGGACATCGCCACGCACGTCGGGACCGAGGCCATCTACGACGCCCCCTGGAAGACCCACTGCGGCATCCAGATCACGGTGGGCACCGCCGAGCCGCGGCAGTACAAAGCTATAAAGGTTCCCAAAGCCCTCCCCGCACGAGCCAGACCCAAGAAGGTCGTGGACCCGAGCAGCAAAAGGTCCAAGGCTCGTGCGGAGGCGTTGCGAACCAGGAGGGAAAGGCTACCAGAGCACTTGCGCGACGAGTTCGACGCCCTCTACATCAACCGCGAGACGGCCAAGGAGGACCCCACCCCCTTCGTCATCCCCCAGCAGAACTGGGACGCAGCCGCCGACGAGGTCAGCAACTTCCCGAAGTTCGATGGCGCAGAGGTCGGCACCAAGGAGGGCAGAGGACACATCTTCCACAACCATGCGCCGAACCTCGCGGAGAACATCAACTCGAAGTACGCGCAGTGGGCCGCGACCCTGGAGCTCGCCTTCCTGGAGACACGCGGTCCCCGCCGAGGACAGGGCCAAGTACCAGGGCAGGGCAGAGGGGTACAGGACCACCAAGCAGACGATGAAGGCGTCGCCTGGCAGAGCGTACCTCAAGGACCCCGAGGCTACATGGTGGCAGCACCTCAGCACCCTCGTGGCGAGGTACACTGCACTGGTCACCAACGGCAAGGACCCCAAAGCCCGCCAGCACATCCCCAAGACAGTCATGAAGAAGCTGGACGACCTAGAGAACCCTGAGTTCTCCAAGGAGCTCTTCGGCAGGAAAACCGACCCGCAGGAGATCGAAGAGTGGAAGACCCAGCTCGTTACCCTCGAGTACTGCGACGTGGCTGATTTGCACCGCCTCAGCGCCACCACCATGGAGTGGTCCCATAAAGCCATGGCGAGAGCTGCAGGCAGAGCGCGGAAACGGTATCTCGACTGGGCGAAACAGGCGTGGAAGGACTCACCAGGCAAGTTGCACCGCATGGTCACTGACCCCAAGGCGCCGCGCCTGGAGGACAAGCAGCCCCAGCGAACGGTGGGCGACCCGTCCACGCTCATGAACCACTCTGCCGACACCTGGCGCTCCATCTGGGCGTCCGACAGCTACAACGCCAAGCAGATCATCAGCGCATACGAGAAGGCCATGCGGCTCGCGAAGGAGGACCCCCTCCCGCTAATCGAGCCGCAGCACATACAGGCCATCGTGGGCACCGCCAACCCGAAGAAGGCGAGAGGAGTCGACAACATCGGCCCCATCGACATCCAGAGGCCCCCCGAGAAAGGGACCCAGGAGCTCGCCGAGATCTACAACCAGGTGGAGGCCAACGGGCTGTGGCCTCAGCAGCTCTGCGCCACCATTGGGGCCATGGCCCCCAAGCCCGCAGGCGGAGAGAATCTTGGGCATGCCCCCCGCAATCCCCAAGACCTGGGCCAAGGTCCGCTCCAGTGTCACCGACGAGTGGTCCAAAGAGTTCGGGGAGTTCTGGGACACCGCCATCAAAGGCTCCAGCGCCCTAAGGGCAGCGCTAGTCAGGGCGCCCCTTAACGAGACGGCGGCGACCTTCGGCATTGCTTTCGCGACCTTGCTCATGGACGTAGAGAAGTTCTACGACTCGGTCTGCTACGCGGCCCTCTTCGACGCCGCGATCGGGGTCAACTTCCCCCCGATTGTCGCGGCGATGGAGGTGCAGCTCTACCTCGCGCCCAGGTACTTGCGGATGCACGGCTGGGTCAGCGACATCATAGACGCCGAGAGGTCCATAGTCGCGGGCAGCTGCAACGGCGGCAAGCTCGCCAAGGTCTTCCTGGGGCCGATCCTGCAGAGGGCCCATATCAACCACACGCACGCTGGCCTGTGGACGTTCGCGGACGACACGGTCGCGAGGACAGAGGGCCAAACCAAGCAGGTCATCGGGGATCTCATCGGGGTTGGCGCCGACCAATTCGAAGGCATGACGGGTGCGGGGCTCCGAGTCCCCCCCAAGACCACCGTCGTAGCCTCCAGCCAGACGATCGCCTACGCAGTGCACGACGGCCTCAAGAAATAGGGCCACCAAGTCAAGGTGGCCAACAGCGCGGTCGACCTGGGCATCGACGTGGGAGGCGCCAAGCGACGGGTTGTCGCCAAGGCAATCAAGAGGGCCAGGACCGTGAGGAGGCGCACTCACCGCATCGTCGCCAAGGTCAGGAAGCACGCCTCCCTCGCCAAGATCGCGAAGGGCTTGTGGAACACGGGATCCAGGCCACAGGGGACCTACGGTCACCGGATCATGGGCCTCGCCTCAGCGGCCATCCTCGACCAGAGCGACAGGCCGTCCAGGCTACGGCGGGGAAGGTCCCTGGCCGCTGTCCGTCTACAGCCCTCGCCGTCGCCATGGGGAAGAAGGACCCCGCGATCGAGCTCAGGCGCCAGTCGATCGCCGAGTGGCTCAACTTCTGGATGCAGCACCCAGAACACCACAGTCGGGTCACGCAGGCGTGGAAGCGGATCTACGACAAGTCGATCAAGTACGGCAACAAGAAGTGGAGGAAGGTCAAGGGGCCCATCTCCGCCATCCAGGCCATCCTCCCGGGCGCAGGCTGGACCTGCCCGACGCCAACGGAGTGGTCGCGACCTCCGTGGGCGGGCGAGACCTACACCCAGGAGTGGCAGCTACCCCACAGCGGACAAGCCGACTGGGAGGACAAGCGCAATGACGTGGACCTTGCGGAGTTCGTCCACGAGTTCTGCCTGTCCCTCGAGAGGACCCACTGGAGGGATGCCGCCAAACATCCACATGGAGAAGGACTGCAACGGGGGGGCCCAGACGTCCACATAGTTGCCTACGAGATGGAGAGGTTCACGAGGAAGGGCCAGTACGACCAGGCGGCCCTCAACCTCTGCGTGGTCGCGGGGGCGCAATGGCCCAGAAGCCGACTCATCGAGGCGGGGCACAACGCTACTCCAACTTGCCCGAGGTGCGGTGGGGCCGACGAGACGTTCATGCACAGGGTCTGGCTGTGCCCCTGCAACCGCGACCACGAGGACTACACGGATTCTGACGCCCCCATGCCTTCTGCCCTGGCTGGAGCAGAGGCTGCCCCCGCATACTGGCTCCGCGGCCTGCCTGCGCGCACTGACACGCACCCGCTCTTTGCCTCATTGGGAGGGGACGGCGGGTGGAGCTGGGTTGGGCGGGATTGGGAGGACTGCGTCAGCAGCGACGGCACCCTCCTCACCCTCTTCGGGGACGGCTCTGGAGGTCAGTACAGTGATGACCCACGACGCCGAAGAGTGGGGACCGCCTGCGCCGCTATGAAGTGCCTCTTCGGGGAGTGGCCCCCCCTGGGGAGGCATCATTTCGGGCCTCGAGGGCCCCTTTCAGACTGTGCCTCGTGCTGAGCTGCTGGATTTTGCGCTCGCCCTTGAACACTGGGAGGGCGACCTCTGCTTTATCACAGATCACCCCCCGTTATATGACGGATGGCGGTCGCATCGACACCTGCGCCCCCGCGATGGCGCCAATCAGGATTTGTGGGCACGTATTGCAAAAGCAATTCGCGCACGTGGCAGTAGGCAGCTCTCGGTGATCTGGGTGCCCTCACACAGCGAGGAGTCACCTGGCCTTGCCTCAGACCCAGTGCGATACTTTCACACTATCAGTAACGCGACGGCCGATGCATGGGCAGGGGTTGCGGCCCTACAGTCCTACGAGGCAGCGCTCGTAGGACAGGCCCCATCCAACAGACCTGCATGATGCCCAGTGCACCCTCATCCGCAGGAGGGCGCGCCGAGCCCTAGCTGACACGCTTGCAGTCGACCCCCGGGTGGCGGAGCGACCCTCGCAGGCCAAAGGCCCGCGTCTCACCAAGCTGCAGCTAGCCATGCAATCGAGCCAGCACGCCTTTGAGCTCAGAGCGGGCAAGTATCTCTGCTCTCGGTGCGGGCTCACCGCTGACAAGTGTAAAGTACGCCAGGCCTGCGCCACGCCGTGCACCCACCAGCCGCCCCTTCCGTCCGCCAGCGACCAGATAGTGCCAGTACAGGGCACCATCACCATTGCTGGCCGCGAGCTGCACGCCAGCCATAAGCTTCATTTCATGCAGAAGTACCGCCTGTACTTCTGCCGCGGGTGCGGTAAGACGGCCACTGAGGACCCACGCCACCTCGCCGCACCCTGCGCAGGCATCACCAAGAAAGAGCGAGAGAACCTCGCCAAGATTGATAAGGGAGAATTTACTCGCGCCCACGCTGGGCGGGATGGCCTCACCAAATTTCTGCGCGCAGCTACCCACGGCATGGCCGTGGAAGAAATATCAGCTGCCGCCGCGCCTGCCGCTGCCTGCGCCAATCATGGCCAGGGCTAGAATGCGTTTGGCATCGCCCGAACTTCGCACCTGGGTGCGCTCGGTCTGTTCCTCTGTTCCTCATCCTCCTCCTCCTCCTCCTCCTCCTCCTCCTCCTCCTCCTCCTCCTCCTCCTCCTCCTCCTCCTCCTCCTCCTCCTCCTCCTCCTCCCCTCTACAGAAGCCCCCGACTGATGACGTGTCGTCCGCAGGGGGGGCTTCTGTAGACCATCCTGCCTTCTGAGGTGCCGTCATCGAAGACCCCGATAGTGTCTGAGCAGCCCCCTCCTTTCTCAGGAGACCTCCCCCCGCCCCCCTCCTCCTCAACTTGGCGCGACGGCAGCGCTGTCCAAGCAGCTATGCCATTCTTCGTCCATGGCCAGTCACCCGTTGGCCGACTTCCGCTCTCAGCGCGTGTGTCGCAGAGCGCATGTACCACGCCTGTCGGAATGTCTCGTGCGTGATCGCCCTATGTCGTTGGGGTTTCAGCATGTGACATCCATCCGCATGATCTATGCGCATGCTCTTCCCCCCAACACAGCGCGGCACCTCCCCAGGATGCCGTGGAGCGCGTGCGCAAGGCGCGCGACCTCTGCTGGCCCCTCTCTCCCGCGGCACTGCGGTACCCGCAGCCGCGGAGTCCGTTCCTCGGGTCGGGGGGCGCGCTGGGCTTCGGGATCGGATCCCCCCTCGCGAAATACACATGTTCGTGTTACTCCCCTTCTCTCCGTTTCGCGTTTTCTCTCTCTCTCTCTCTCTCTATTTATCTCTCTCTTTCTCTCTCCTTTGGTCTCTATCTTCCTTTATCTCGTTGTCGCCGTCGTCGTCATCGTCGTCGTCCCTCCTTCTCGGGCCGGGCGACGTCGGCAGCCCCAGCAGGGGTCGCCGGGAAGTCGTCCTCCGGAGATTCGGCTCCTCGAGCGGGGCCCTCTCGAGTGCGACCCCAGTGCCAGGGCAGTGACGTCTGGCGATTCGGAGGGCCCTGAGATCTTGGCGTCGCAGTTTTTCACACCGGGCGTTTTCGATCAATTTCGAGCCCCGGGACCCTGACAGATTGATACGGCTAGCAAAATTACCGTGGTTGTTCTCGATGTTGCAATTTGTTTGCAATGTCGGATCTCAGGAGAGAGGGGAGACTTGCAAAATTGTTGTTTTTCAATATGTAGAGTTGCGCCACATTCGCCGACCCCCCCATTGATATCTGACGGCGCTACTAGGGACGCGCTCCACCACCGCCAGTGGCCCAGCTCCAGTGAGAAGGAAGGAGGTCCACGATACCGTCGGCCCCGCATGCCGCAGATCCATCGTCGTCGTACTTAGGTGTTGTTGTCGTCGACGTCGTGCATTGTCGTTGGTAGCGTTTTTCGTATCATTTATTAGTATGATTATCCTTATGATTATGATGATGATGGTGATGATGATGATGATGATGATGATTATTATTAGTATTATTATTATTTTTAAATATTATATTTAGTGTTTTATTATTGTTATTAGTATTATTATTAGTAGTAGTAGTAGTAGTAGTAGTAGTAGTAGTAGTAGTAGTAGTAGTAGTAGTAGTAGTAGTAGTAGTAGTAGTAGTAGTAGTAGTAGTAGTATATTTATTATTATTATTATTATTATTATTAGTATTGTTATTGTCGTTGTCTTTGTCCCGCCCCATTTTGGCACACCCCTCACACGTTTCGATACGTTTCGTGGCCCCACAGGGGGCTCCGCCGAAGGCGCCAGCGGTTGCATTCACAGGGTGACCCGCCCGACTTCGGCAGACACCTCGCACGCTTCGTGGTCCCAAAGGGAACTCCGCCGAAAGCTCCAATGGCTGCGTCCGCATGGTGTCGCCTCAGTAATTTCGCTTCGCCCCGCTCAGTTGAGTGTAGCCTGGCGTTATTTTGACGAAGCGTTCAGGGGTACTGCAAATCCGTGGGTATGTCCATGCGCATTGAGCGGTCCTGCGCATAGGCGCCACGCGTTAACATAGGACTGGGTTCTTCGGCAGGGGAGTTTGATTGTCGTCATCGTCGCCAGCTGTTTTCGCGCGTCGTCGTCGTCGTCACGTTTTGTCTTCGTTGGTGTTGTTGTCATCGTCGTGACAGTCGGCGACGTTGCCAGTCGGCGCCATTGTAGTTGTCGTTGCCGCAATTTCTATCGTCGTTGTTGCTCTGCATAACGCTCGTAGACCGTCTCAAGGGCGTCTTGGACCACTTCTGGGGCTGCACTGGGCTGCTGCGGAGGCCCTGGGGGCCGACAGAGGCCCCAGAGCAGTGCCCGAGGAGCCCGTAGACCCTCAACCCGGGGCCCGGGTTCGAATTCATAGATTGGGGTTTTTGGGGTGGAGGAGGAGGAGGAGGAGGAGGGGGAGGAGGGGGAGGAGGAGGGAGGAGGAGGAGGAGGAGGGAGGAGGAGGAGAGGGAGGGGAGGAGGAGGGAGGGGGGAAGAGTGGAGGAGGAGGAGGAGGAGGAGGAGGAGGAGGAGGAGGAGGAGGAGGGAGAGGAGAGGAGGAGGAGGGGAGGAGGAGGAGGGAGGGGAGGAAGGAGGAGGAGGAGGAGGAGGAGGAGGGGGAGGAGGAGGAGGAGGAGGAGGAGGAGGAGGAGGAGGAGGAGGAGGGGGAGGAGGAGGAGGAGGAGGAGAAGGAGGAGGAGGAGGAGGAGGAGGAGGAGGAGGAGGAGGGGGAGGAGGAGGAGGGAGGGTGCTTCACCTCAAATGTCTGGACACCCACAAGGGGTTGGCGGATTCTGAGTACAAGCGAGTCCGAGCTGACTGAGCCTGATTGTGAGAGGGTCTGTACGTGGCGTCGTGCGAATATGGTGGTTTAGAATACGAGTGGGCCCGAGTGCGAGTGATGGTGAGCATGAGTGAGTATGAGTCTGGGCATTGTGACTAGAGCGGGGATATGAATGGGTCTGGGTATGGTCACTGATGCGAGTGAGTTTGTGCGCAAGCGACCTCGCGTGTGGGTGGCAGGGAGGACGCGAGAAGGGAGAGCGACGGAAAGAGTGAGGGCAGGAGGCGGAGGCGCCCGGCGACGAACAGCAGTGATCCCATGCTCGGGAGATGGGGCAAGACAGGGCACCACGATCGCGAGAAGCCCGCACGCGGCCATGACGTTGCCGCAGATGCGCTCTGCAGCGTGTTTTTTTTTGTAAAACGGATGGTGCGTGTGTGTGTGGGGGGGGGGGGGCGCCGCCGCCGCTGCCGCAGCTGCTGCCTCTGAGAGCTGGCCCGGCCGGCTCGCGCTGCGCCCAGCAGCTAATTAGGTTTGCCCGTCGGCCCGGACACCCTGTTCGCCGCCTGCACTTTTCGCTTGCGGCCGCGACCAAAAAAAAAGTGTGTGGGGGGGGGGGGGGTGCGTTATCCTTGGTCGGCGGACGCTCGGGTGGGCGACGGGGTGCCCACGAGCGAGAAAGCGGCGACAGACCCTTGCCCGATTTGGGGGAGGACGCACCGTGTTTGGAGGAGCGCGCACCGGGCAGAGGAGAGGTTTCTCGAGCCGGGTGCAGGTTGTCGGGGGCGGCAAAGAGGGGGGTGATGACTAGGGGGGGGGTGGATATCATGGCGTGGGCCATGATATTTCCTCAGATCTCATGGCGCCTCTTCTTATTTCATTACGTCCCTGGCCCCCCCGCTGGGCCGCGCACATGCCGCTGGTCATGATTTGCACCCCTCCCTCTTGGACACCCCCCTCTTGGCCGCTCCCGAGGTTGTCACGGGCATGGAGAGGCAGCGAGCGGGGGAGGGGGGGGACACAAAGCAAATTCTGTTTGTAGAATAGTATTATTATGATGTTTTGCTCTCGCCCCCAGGACGACCACGACAGCGACCACGACCGGGAAGCTGAGTGCAAGCCCAAACATTTCCACAGGCTCCCCCAAAGAACTCTTAAGTTCTTAGGGGGCCCTTCCTAGAGGCACCATCACTAAGGAGGCCGATCTGACTAAGGACCCGCATCCTTATCAAAGACACACCAGTAAAGGAAGCATGGGCAGTGAATCGTTACTAGAGGGAACCTTACTAAGGGGAGGACCCTTACTAAAAATGCGTCTTCTGGATGCCCGGTGGGTCTTTGGGGATGCCTCTCGGGACCTCGGAGGGCTTTTCAGGGGGCTCTTGGTGCTTTTGGGAGGCCTCTTGGCAGCCTCTTGCCCCTTCGCCTTCCCCCCTTGGCTTTCTCGCCCCATTGGGCCGTCTTGGGGGACTCTTGGGTCGCCTCGGGGCCCTCTTGGGCCGTATTGGAGCTCGCTCGGCGCTTTCTTGGAGCGTCTTGGGGCCCCAAAATGGGGGGAAGCGACTTCGAGGGCGCCACTTGTGTCGCAAGGCCGAGAACGGCCGCTTGCCCAAAGCCCTGTGACGTAGGGTAGTGAAGGCAGAGCTCGCCTGACACGGGGCTGACGGCGTGGGCGACGCTGCTTGTATTTGGCAGTCGGGGCGAGGTCTGAAGGAGATGCAAGGGGGCAGCGCCCAAGGCGACGGGACGACGTGGGAGGAGGTAAGAGGCAGCAGGACGGCAGTAGCGAGGCAGCGAGAAGGGGGCACGCCCGAATCCACACAGATTCGACGAACGAAGTGTTTGCGATCCACACGCTGGCATCATTTACATACCGAATTGGGCAACTTGTTCGTTTGCACTGTATTGCCGAATTGTTCTTCTTGCAGCCTCTCTGTACGAGCGCGTCCGCAGCGCAGGTGGCAGAGGCTGCGATGCCTCCCGAGTCCTCGGAAGAGGACGCTCTTGCCACAGACGTTGTCGTTGTTCATCTTCTCTCGAGCTGCCGCGCGTCTCGTTTCAGCTGCCCATCTCAGCTCGACTTGCTAGTGGTCTCCGCCCTTTCGGTGCCAGACGTCCCACGGTTCTTCGCGCTTCCGACTTGTAGCGGGGTGGAGAGCCCGAGCCGATGTTTGTTGGCATGACCCAGTGGTACCCGCTCCCCTTGCTCCCGATCCCAGGCTGCCATGAGACAGTCGCTGCCCGTGAGTCGCAGCAGCGCGTGGCAATGTCGGAGCATTGGCGGGAAGCGTGTTCTGGAAACTTGGCCTCGTTCTCTCGGCTGGACCCCCCTTGGCCAACAGAGCACATCCTTTCGGGCCCTCCGCACCCTCTCGGAGAGGCGAGCCGCTAAGAGATAGGCGCAGAATCTGCGCCCATCTCCTGGAGGCCCGCCTTTGTAAGGCGAGGCCGCGAGCAGGGCATGTCTGGGCCACAAGTGGGGTGCACCTGCCGCGCGGGGCAGGAAGCCCAGCCAGCTCCTCCTCTTCCGCGATCAGGCAGCTGTTTTTATCGACTGTTTCGCCGATCGTCGAGGGCCCTCTCCCCTCCCCCCACCCCCCCCCACCCCACAGATCGGAGGAGGAAAAGGCACCCATACCGCTACCCTTCGGCCTTGTTTCTCCTTTTTGAGTTTCCTGGGAGGCCCTCGTCGCCACCGCCGGATTCGCCTCGAAATTCTGGTCACAACGCACCCCGGGAGAGATCTGGGGAGTAGCGGTGTCGATTTTTTTTGGTTTCCCCAATAGAGCAGATTTTGGTTGACTTGGCCGATTGGTCAGGGCACCACCAGTCTGCTTTGCGCGACTATCAAACACCGGATCGACTAAGCACCAGCCCAGACCCAGACCCCTCTCCTTCACCCTTCGGCAAAATGCCGAAAACCAGAATGAAAAACACTTACCATAACAAACATGAATTCAGCGCGACCCCAACTAGTTCTTCTCGTAGCGCCTAACAGATTCAAGGCTGGTTGAAGACAAGCTGAAAGCAGTACTAACGAGAAGCTCAAGCTAAGAGCAGGTTCAAACAAAAACCAAATAACGAAAACATATTATCACAGGTCAACGGTGATGCATTGTTAGCTTGACTTCACTTGCAGTGTGTTTTACAGTGTTGTGAGGGCATTGCTGTGTAGTTCGATGTGTGGCAACCCTCTGTTCCCCTCCTGCCATGAGGCTGAGTTGTTCCTTATTCTCTGCTCACAGGAGCACACCTGGACAGCCGTCGCGGCGTTCCACGCGCTCCCGCTGACGGCGCCTGCGCCGCGCTTTCTGACCGCTGTATCTTGGCATTATTTTGCCGCTGGTTCTTGCACGTGTGACGAGTCGCCGCAGCCGCGACACCGCACGGGCGCCTGCCGAGCAAAAGTGTGTGTTGTGTGTATATGGCGGGAATTCCGACTCACAGGCGACTGCAGTTCAAAGCATTTGTTTGGATATCCATATCAAGGAATGTCATACAATCTAATTACCAAGCATTTAAAGATGAAGGTTACTTTCTGCTCAGGATCAGTTCACAGCGCTTCGTGCTTGATGAATGTCATTGTGCACCCCAGGGGAGGGCACCCTCGCAGGTTCTTCAGTCTGGGCCGGCGAAGGTCTCATGATCTTGGAGGATGGCCCGGTGGCTCGAAGATGGGGTCCTGAGGGATGGGGGCCTGAGGATCGGAAGGGACCCAGGGGGGGATTTACGCTGCTTCGAGGCGCCTCGTCATCAGGACCCCGTCCCCCAGGACCCCATCTTTAAGGAGGGGAAAAAACACAGACACAATTAATCGTCGATTCCCAGAAAAGATAGGAAAATATGTGAATTGGGCGGGAAGACAAAAACCCAGAAAATATACGAAAATTTGGGGAATCTTTTTATTCGTGTGTATTTATTTGTGTGTCCCAGGGCCCCTTCAATCATTGAACCACCGAGGCGCTCTTCTGCCCTGGGGCCCGGCCGCACCTCCGCCCTCTGCCTGAGGCGAAGCTGCGGCTGCTGGCGGACGAGCGGGCCCGCCCGCCCCCTCCGCGGCCCCCTCGCCGCCGCCGCCCGCAGGGGGGCAGAGGGGGGAGGGAGCGGGAAGCGGAGACGACGGCGGAGACGAGGAGAGAGGCAAGCCCACGAGGAGGAGGAGGAGGAGGAGGAGGAGGAGGAGGAGGAGGAGCAGAAGCAGGAGCAGGAGCAGTAGCAGGAGCAGGAGAAGGAGGAGGAGGAGGAGGAGGAGGAGAAGGGAGGAGGAGGGAAGAGGAGTCTTCGCGCAGCCCCGCGCCGCGCCATGCCGCGCCGCGCCGCCCCGCTGACGCGCTGCGCCTCAGAGCTCGGAACGCGACGCCCTGAATGGAGGAGAGGATAGGTTTGGGTCCGCTGTGTGCACAGGGCTGGTGATGACTAGCATCGGCCTCGTTCCAGGCTCGAGGCCACATTGGAAGCTCCATCCCGCGGAAAGGGCGATGGCCAGGCACACGCCGAATCGAGTCTTTTAGCGCCAACCGCCCACCACGACCAAGAAGGCGATCATGCAGGCGCCTCCCCCGTCGCCTCCGCCGCCCCACCCCCCCTTGCCCCCTCCGCCGCCGCCCTTCAATGCAGCTGGCGCCACTCGCGTGCCCCTTTCGCGCGTTTCGCTGGCACTCATGGCTGGCGCTGATCACATTGAGACTCCCGATTTTTGGTGCTGGACTTAGCGTAGCAATGTTCGGCTCACCTGCCGATCAGCAGGCTTGCAGATCTGCCTCATGACGCACAGGAAAGGATATGAGCTCCTACCTTGAGCACCTCCGCGACCACTGAGAAAAAGATCCACTGCGGCGAAGGTGCCCCAGAGTCGTGGCACGAGGCGAAGGGCGTAGTGCTGCTTCATGGAGAACGAGGAGGGCTGCCCCATCGGCTGCAACGCAGGATAATACGACCTCGACCCGATGCAGTGGGTGCGCGGCTGGTCCGGCGAGAAAGAGCTGCATTGCCGAAAGGAGTGGAGGAGGGTGAGGAGGAGGAGGAGGAGGAGGAGGAGGAGGAGGTAGAGTACGAGGCAACCGAGGAGCAGGCAGAGGACGAGGCACTGGAGGAGCGTCAGGACGCGCAGGCAGGAGGAGATGCAGCTCAAGCCCCAGCCCCGGAGGCAGCTGCGCCGGGCGCGAGGGCATCCTCCTCCTCTCCTCCTCCTCCTCCTCCTCCTCCTCCTCCTCCTCCCCTCCTCCTCCTCCTCCTCCTCCTCCTCCTCCCTCCTCCTCCTCCTGGTTCAAGCCAGTTTGGCTCAAGCCATTTTGGCTCAAGTTGCCACCGCTCAAGCCAGCTGGGCAGGAGCAGCCTGCCCCCTTTTTCTCTTACGCCCACGCGCCGCAGTTTCCGCCATGTCTTCCAGGACGCCTTGGGTTCGCAAAGAAGGAGTAGGAGCTCCTGTTGCTTCGCATTCAAAGTTACTTTGCCCGCGTGGCAGACCAGACTGTTGGATCTGGCCTAATAGAATTGCTTCTCAGCCGTTATGTAAGTGCGGCCTTCCGTGGCATGGGAAGAGTTCCCAGCCGCTTCCCCCACCTCCGCCACCACCGTCAGCAGCCAAGTCTGGTCGCGCAGAAAGGATCAAGGCTGCGGTAGTAGTTGGCAGGGAGAAGTCTCAGTCCAAACACAAGCCCACCGTTCAGGTAGAAGCCGACAGTGAGAAGACGCAGCCACTGCCGCCTCTTGTGGCAGTGAAGGCCAATCCCAAAGATAAGGCCGCTCGTCAGGTAGAAGCCGACAGAGAGCAGGGCCAGGATTTCAAAGTCAGGCATCAGTTCAAGCTTTTGATCTCGGATGTCTTCCAGCAGTACGAACCGCAAATGCTGGATCAATTGGATCATTTCTTGGACACGTACAAAGGGCAAGAACAGTGTCTTTATTTGGCAGTATGCGAGAAATTCAATGTGGAGCCTAAGGTAAAGGTTCAGATCACCAAGAAGGAAGATAACCTTCCAGTTCGGGACAGCGATAGCGTGTCCGACTCACCTTCTGCCAGTAAACATGTCGACAGTCCTCGTTCGACTTCTCCAGAGCACGCTAGTAAGCGTGCAAAGGTTGGGCACAGCGATGCCGCCCCTTCCAGTGGTTCTGCCCCGTCCAGTTCAAAACTGCTGGAGTTAAAGTGTGGCCCCCAGGATATCAAGATCAAGCACCTCCAGCAGAAGCTAGAGACACTCCAGGAGGAGCCCAATCGTGTTAAGATTCAAAACGCAGCTTCAGGCAGTGCGCCTGTTCCTAGGAGGAGCAGGTCCAGCTCAGACTCCACTTTTTCAAAGTAAGTTGAGCAAATATGTTGGTATTATCCAACTTTCTTTCAGCGGCAGAATGTTTATTGCATCTTGGGCTAAATGGCAACTTGAGTATTGGCTTAGTGAGCATAATTCATCGGCTACAGGTTTTGGTAGAATCCTTTTGTCTTGGTCCTTTCGTTTGGGTCGGACAGTTGTCAGCTACCCAGCGTTCTTTTACCTTCACGTCTTATTTCCTTGGCCAGATCGGCAGAACTGTGAAGCAGGTAGCTTACCTGCAGTTTCTTCTTCATGCGCTAGTTGGGCAGCTGTATTCAGCCCAGCTTATTTTACTTTTCAGGGGCCCAGGGAAGTCTGGCGAAGTAATCCCCTCGTATTCTCTCTTCCCTTTGGGGAACGGAGGTCTCGCCCTGCTAGGGGACTCCCATTAGTATGTGGGAAGAAAGTTTACCCCAGTGCTTTGCAGGCTTGATCTCCTTCCCCTTCCCTTGTCCTACTGTCTTCCCCCCTCCCTCCTTCCTCCCTCCAGACAGTTCAAGGAATTGGCAGCCAGGTCACAGGCGAAAGCAAGTGGCCTTCCCTGGCGGGTCTTGCCATGGTCTCACCATGCTCGAAAGTCCGAACCTGCAAGTTGGCGTTCAGGGATTGCTCTTGTCTGGGGAGGGGGTCACTGGTGGGTGGGATGGGATTCTCCGCCCCGTTCTGGGGAAGTTCTGCATTGTTTCTGTTCTGGCCAGGGAACGGCCCATTAGAAGGTGGGCAGCGTTTAACCCGGGCGAGTTGTGTTTCATGCATGTCCTTCTCCTCTTCTCCTCCTCCTGGGGTAAGGTTCTTGGCGCCGACTCGGTATTGGCAACGCCCCAGGCTTGGACTGGGGGTCAGTTGCTGTCCGCGGAACGTGCTTGAGTTTTGTTCAGCCCCGAAGCGAATGTCAAAAAATGTCCTCCTCCTCCTCCTCCTCCTCCTCCTCCTCCTCCTCCTCCTCCTCCTCCTCCTCCTCCTCCTCCTTCCTCCTCCTCCTCCTCCTCCTCCTCCTCCTCCTCCTCCTCCTCCTCCTCCTCCTCACCCTCCTCCTCCTCCTCCTCCCCCTCCTCCTCCTCCTCCTCCTCCTCCTCCCTCCTCCCTCCTCCCTCCTCCCTCCTCCCTCCGTACGTGCGCACCTCGGACTTCCAGACAGCCTTCGACCGGGTCCACCCCGATCTGGTTCGCACGGTGTGGTTGACGCTTGGCGTGGCCCCTTGGGTCGTCGACCCCATCACGCGAGCATGGAGAACGCAACACAACGCAGCAAAGTAAGCAAGCGCATACGTCGCGCCTCGCATGGTAGCCGCTCCGAGGGCTCAGCAGGGGGACCCTCTGAGCATGATAGGCGTGGCCTTGTTTCTGATGCCCGTGCTGTACAAGATCCAGAGAAAAGTGTCTGGGGCGACTCTGTGCACCTTCGCAGACAGGGGCGCAGCGTAGCACTCTTCGCATCTCCTGGCAGCGCCCTGGCCTGCGCCAGAGCCTAAGCGCGCGAAGCGCGCCGCGGAGCTCCAGAATCATCTGGAGACTTCTCCAGGTTTTTTTGGGGACGTCGGTCGTCGTCGTCGTCGTCGTCGTCCCCGTCGTCGGGAAGCAGGAAGAAGACGGGGGAGAAGCGAGACTGGGCTGTCCTCTTTCAACTTTCCCCATTCACCCCTCCTCTCCCTCTCTTCTCACCTCTCCATTCTGCCATTCTGGAGCACCCTCCGATTTCGTCGTGCCCTTGGCTCATTGGCCCTCATGCTCCACCATCTTTTTCCTTCACCCGCCACACCCATCATCCTCCGTTCACGTCAACCCTCCTGAAACGTGCGACCGGATGCGATGCAAGCCCCCGACCTGGGACAGAAGCGCGCGCGAAGCGTGAAGCGCGCGCGTGCTTCCTCCGAAATCTGACCGCTCGCGGCCCACCGCGTGCAGTTGGGCTCGAGAGCTGGGCACCCCTCGAGCCGCAGCTCGAGAGCTGGGCACCCCTCGAGAGTTGGGCTCGAGAGCTGGGCACCCCTCGAGGAGCTGGCGGACCCACTCGGCCCCGGCGGCGCCGGCCGCAGCGGACCCCATGCCGGTGCCCCCCGCCCCCTCCGCGCGCTCGGACGCCGTCTTCGCGCCGGGCCTCATGCAGGGCAAGGTCTTGCACTGAGGAGGAGGAGGAGGAGGAGGAGGAGGAGGAGGAGGTGGAGATGGAGATGGAGGAGGGAGGAGGAGGAGGAGGAGGAGGAGGAGGAGGATGGAGGAGGAGGAGAGATGGATGGGAGGGGGAGGAGGAGGAGGAGGAGAGATGAGATGGAGGAGGAGGAGGAGGAGGAGGAGATGAGATGGAGATGGAGGAGGATGAGGAGGAGAGGAGGAGGAGGAGGAGGAGGTGGAGGAGATGGAGATGGGAGGAGGAGGAGGAGGAGGAGGAGGCTGGAGAGGAGGAGGAGGAGGAGGAGGAGGAGGAGAGAGGAGGAGGAGGGGGGAGGAGGAGGAGGAGGAGGAGGAGGAGGAGGAGGAGGAGGAGGAGGGGAGGAGTAGGAGGAGCAGAGGAGGAGGAGGAGGAGGAGGAGAGAGGAGGAGGTGGAGGAGGACGGAGGAGGAGGAGAGGAGGAGGAGGGGGAGGAGGAGGGGTTGGGCGCCCGAGCTATCCGGGGCAACTCGGGTCCGGGGTATCTCGGGTTTGGATTCCCGAAAAACGAACCCGAGTTAGCCCTGACCCGAGTTACCCCTGATGATTCGGGGTATCTCGGGTTTGGATTCCCGAAGAAGGAATCCGAGTTAGCCCTGACCCGAGTTACCCCTGATGTGATGTGGAGCTCTGGGCGCCCGAGTTATCCGGGGTAAGTCGGGTCCGGGGTAGCTCGGGTTTGGATTCCCGAAAAAGGAACCCGAGTTAGCCCTGACCCGAGTTACCCCTGATGTGATGTGGAGCTCTGGACGCCCGAGTTATCCGGGGTAAGTCGGGTCCGGGGTAAGTCGGGTTCGGAATCCCGAAAAAGGAACCCGAGTTAGCCCTGACCCGAGTTACCCCTGATGATTCGGGGCTCTGAAAGGTGCTCTTCGTCTCGGGCGGCGGCAGCGGCATCGGCCTCGGCATCTGCCTGGCCTTCGCGCGCCTGGGCGCGCGCGTGGCCATCTGCGGGAGGACGGAGGCGAAGCTGCAGGAGGCCTCGGAGGCGATCCGGCGCGCGGGCGCGCCCGAGGCGATGTTCGTGCGGGCCGACGTGCGAGACCCCGAGGCCATGAAGGCGGCGGCCGACGCGGTGGGCCAGAGGTGGGGCAAGATCGACGTCTTCGTGAGCAACGCCGCGGGGAACTTCATGTCCCTGGCGGAGGACCGGGGGGGCGGACCTGAGCGGTGTCTGGGCGATTTCGTGGGCCGTCTGCGTCTCGAGGTCGTTGTGCGTGACAGGCGGACGGAAGCCAAGACGAGGGAGAACGAAGACAGAACGAAAACGAAGAGCACCGTTCAGGTTCGGCCCTGCTCCCGGAGGACAGGGGGTGGACCTAAACGGTGCTTTTTTGGAGCGGTGTCGTGGGCCGCTTTCGTTTCGATCTCGCTTCGCGGCAAAACGGCGAATGGAAGACGGAACGAGGGACAGCAAAGGCAGAACGAAACCACGAAAAGCGATGTTTGGGGCGATGCCTCGCGGAGGACATGACCCCGAAGGCCTTCGCGACCGTGCTGGACATCGACCTCCGCGGCACCTTCCATGGAGCCCAGGCCGCCCTCCCGTGGCTGCGCCGGGCCTCGGCGGACGGCTCGGGCGCCATCATGATCTCCACCTCCGCGACGCTGCAGTACAAGGCCATGCCCTTCCAGGGGCACGCCGCGGCCGCGAAGGCGGGCATCGACTCCCTGACGAAGACGCTGGCCGCGGAGTGGTCCCACGACGGCATCCGCGTGGTCTCCATCGCGCCCGGCCCCATCGAGAACACGGAGGGCGGCCCCACGGGCCGCGTCTTCGGGGCGCTGGCGGGCAGGCAGGACGTCCGGAGGGTGTGCCCGCTGGGGCGCTACGGCACCACGGACGACATCGCCAACACCGCGGTGTTCCTCGCCTCCGCCGGCGGGAACTACATCACGGGCACGAACGTCGTGGTCGACGGGCTGAACTGGCAGGCCAGCGGGGCCGCCGACGCCCTGGCCGTGAAGGACAAGATCCGGGCGGCCATGCAGCAGCAGCGCGACTCGCGCGCGAGGGGCTCCGGCTCCAAGGGGCACGAGGCCGACAAGCAGTCCCGGCTCTGAGGGCGGCTTCCCCGGGCGGGCCGGGCGCTCCTTGGTGGGGCCTGGGCGCCTAGCAGGAGGGAGGAGGAGGAGGAGTAGGAGGAGGAGGAGGAGCAGGAGGAGGAAGAGGGGGAGGAGGAGGAGGAGGAGGAGGAGGAGGAGGAGGAGGGGGAGGAGGAAGAGAAGAGGAGGAGGAGGGAGGAGGAGGAGGAGGGAGGAGGAGGAGGAGGAGGAGGAGGAGGAGGGAGGAGGGGAGGAGGAGGGGAGGAGAGGAGGAGGAGAGGGAGGAAGGAGGAGGAGGAGGAGGAGGAGGAGGAGGAGGAGGAGGAGGTGGAGGTGGAGGAGGAGGAGGAGGAGGAGCAACTCGGCGGAGAGAGGAGGAGGAGGGAGGGCCAGTTTCCTGCACCTGGCAGAGTTGGAACGCCTCGCTGCCCGTCATTCCTGGGCACTGTCGTTGCGTTCTGTCGTTTTCTGCTTTGCAGTTTTCTCGTGGGCCGCTCTGGCCCGAGGACTGTCGCGTAGCCACCGCGGGAGTTCGCTCTCCTCGCTCTGGGCAGTCTTGTCGTAGACCTCGCGCGCTTGCTAAAGCCCACAGGGAGCGCTTGTCTGCTATCCGTAGGTTGGCATCTGTACGGTATCTTCGCGTCGTATCGACTCGCCGGCGACCCAGAATCGGTCGACGTTGAACGGTCTGACGTTTCGGAAACGGCCGATCGTTCAAGGCTGAACGATCCCCGCGCTGTCAGAAACCAAGGCGGGGGTCGGCACGACACGAAGCTGCCGCACACCGCCACGCCTGGCCAGCGCCATCCTGGGCCCCAGGATGACGTGTGTAGCTCCTCCTGGCCTCGGTTAGGAGGGCGTTTGCACAACCCTGGGGCTCAGGGTGGAGCTATTCGGTAATTAGCAAATCATGGGAGCCTGGTACTTCCTCTTATTTCCGTCGTCAGCGTCGATTAGCGTTTGGGAGTCGATGAAATAGCCCCGATTGCGAAGGCCTTGCGGCCAGTGCCGCCGACCCTGAGAAAGACGAAGATGAAAACGAGGGGGGGGCAGTGGGAGGAGGATGAGTGGGAGGTGGAGGAAGGGTGGGGGAGGTGGATGAGGGAGGAGGTCGGAGGAGAAGGATGTGGAGGAGAAGCAAGAGGAAGATAAGGAGGCAGAGGAGAGCAGGAGGAGGGGGAGCAGAGGGGGGGGGAGGAGCAGGAGGAAGAGGAGGAGGCCAGAGGCTTTCTTGGGACAGCCTGGGGCTCTCTTGAGGTCGTCTTGGGCCGTCCAGGGCTCCTCTCTTACGCCGTCTCGGCACTCTTGGAGGCCTCCTGGGCACTTTGGGGCTTTCCTGGGCTGTCTTGGGGCAATGTTGGGGGCCTCTTGTGCCGTCTTGGAGGCGTCTTGGGGCCCTCTTCGGCCGTTAGGGGACCCTCTTGGAGGCCTCTTGGGCCGTCTCGGGGCGATCTTGGGAGCCTCTTGGGCAGTCTTGGCGCATCGGGAAGCGGAAGAGGCAAGAACGCCAAAATAATTTGAAAACGCATGGGAAATCCATTAATTTTGCCTCTTGGGGCTTTCGTGGGAAAGCTCCTGGAGGCCTCTTGGGGCGCTTTGCAGGCCTCTTGGGCCGTCTGGAGGCCGTCAAGGCGTCTTGGACAGATCGTTCGGCGATTCGGGGTTCTCTTGGACTGTCTTCGGGGCCTCTTGGGGCACTCTTGGCCCGTCTTGGGGCTTTTTTGAGGCTCCGGGACTCCCCAGGGGGGCGTCGTATCTGACCTCCCCCCCCCCCCCGGACCTCCCCGGGCCCCCCCCCCCGCGGGGAAGGGATCGAAGGGAAGGGGCTTCGACTCAATTACTTCGCTTTGGTTGGCGCGCTGAGGAGGTCCCTGGGAAAGGGGGGAGCTTCGACGAGCCCAGGGAAAGGGGGAGGCAGGGAAAGGGGACGACAGAGACAAATGACGGAGATGACGACTTGAACGGACAAGCCCCTCACATACGCCGACAGGGTCGGCGGACTTAGCGTCGGCTCGCGTCGATTAGCGTCGATCAAGCGTCGATTCGCAAGAGCCGACAGGATGGTATGGGAGGCTCCCATGAGTTGCCACCGAACAATCGTGGGGCCCAGGGTGGAGCTGGCCAGGCATGGTGGTGGCGTACGCCTGCCCTCTGCGTATGCTTGCGTGCCCATGGCACTCGCCGCCAATGGGCCTCCTCGTCTCACCTCCAGGCTGCCCGTTGCCTGTGAGACTCGAGGAGGGCCGGGAGGGAACGCTTTGTAGAGCCAGCCAGCTCGCCCCACCAGGCGCCCAGACGAGCCCAGCGGTGCGCAGGCAGCGCGGTGCGTGTCAGGGAAAGAATGCGGTCATTATCATGGCCGTCGAGATTCGGATCAGAGCCTTGGAAACCAGGACACTGCAAACCTGGATGTTGCTAGATCCCGTGGGAGGAAACAACAAATACCGGAGAGTGTTTCAACGCACGGTTGTGGTTTTGTTGGGCGTGTTGACGCCTTTATTGTGTTTACGGAGCATTGGTCGATGTCATTGAGTAGTTGTCGCATTGTGCATCGGATTGGATTGTGGGATTGCGACAGCATGTCTATTCCCCTTTCATTTCTTCCGTTCCTTCCTCCTCCTCTCTTAGCGGGGGCAGCTCGGTGCGTAACAGGAGAAAGTCCAGTATTTAAGTGGTTGTTGCACAAGACGTCGGCCCAGAGTGCGACACCCTCTTCCTTCCCTGTTCTGCCTTCTCCCCTCTCCTCCCCTAGGTCACCCACAGAAGCGCGAAGAGAAGTGCGTTTCGCGCTTCGTGGTCCAGGCTGCAGGGTTGCCCTTCCCTTCTCCAGGGGGCACGAGAGATCGTGAAGGTTGCCCCGCCAAGTTTGGTGACCTGGCGCTCTCTGCCCACCCCTGCTCTCCATCCGATCCCCACGCCTTCTCTCTTACAAAGAACATGCGACGTACGGTTTTGCTTGACAGTCGGATCGCAGTCTTCGCAGCGATCTTGATGAAGCGGTCTTGATGAATGTTGACATGGTTTGTCGCATTCGATGAGTGGAAGTGGACGGCTGCACCCCTCCGTTCCAGATCAGGTAAGAAGCAAAGGTTTGGTTCCACCGAACTGTGGGCATCGCCTTCACATCGAGTTCAGCCTTCCTGTGTTCAGCGGTGGCAGTTGGTCGTTGTTGTCGTTTCGCTGCTGGGTGGCGACTTCCGTTGGCCCGCCTGCCACCCTGCTGCTCCTGCTGTTCCTGTTCCCTCCCTCCTCCACCCTCCTCTTCTTAGCATGAATCGATGTGCAGGTTCTGCGCGCCGGCTCCTCCAGAAGTACTCTTGAGTGGGGCTTGCATCTCTGAGTTTCGTCATTTGACACGCGACGAGAATTGCACGTCCAGATGACAGGTCAGAACGGCAGTGGTCAGGGGGGGGAATCTGGACAGGGGAGGAGGACGCATGAGGAGGACCAAATTGGAAGAAGATACGAATGGAATGATGATGAGGAGGAGAAGGAAGAGGAGAAGGCAAGTGAGGAGGATCTGCATCAGCTAGAGAAAGGGGAGAATTAGGAAGAGAAGGTGGGAAAAGACGAAGAGAGGGGGGGTGAGACATCGACCCCGAATGGCTGACTCGCGGCCGACCTGGACGTGATAGGCTCTTTCCGCCCCGGATCGCTGTGCTCTCCCCCGAGCTGCGCTCTATGTTGGAAGCTTCGCCGAGCTGGACGTGTTAACGCTGCGTTTCCCCCCCGAGCTGCCCCTTGAGGAGGAGGATGACGACGATGAGGACGATGGTGATGGCGAGGGCAAGTGGAGGAACAGCAGGAGGAGCAGGGAGGAAAAGAAGAGGAAGAGGAGGAGGTGTGCGACATCAACTGAAAGGTGTTGTGGAATATCGACGGTGATCATTGCACGCGCACAGATGTGCCAGCAGAGTTCCGAAAGAAATCGAGGAGGCGTGAGATGACATGAAGATGATGAAAAGGGACAGGTGAGGAGAAGGGGGAGAAGGAGGGGGCTGCCCACCCCTTGAAGACGAACCTATAGATATCTTCACATACGTGTACACACAGACACATCTAAGTACATGCATGCATACATATGCCAGCGGTGCCCCGTGGCACGAACACCCCCGCTTACTTGGAGCTTCCCTGGGGGGTTCGTACCGGGCGCACTGGGTGCCGCTGACGACCCGCACCCCCCCTCCTCCCCTCGTCCGCGGGGTCTCGTGCCGGGCGCACCGGCGGACCCGCCTTGTGTGGTAGTGGGGCGGGGTGATCCTGTGGGATCGGCGGACTCCCTTGGCAGTGCGGAGGAGCGCGATGGGGAGGCGTCCTCAGGAGTGGGGGAGAGTCCCGGGGAGACCTTTGGGACCTCTGGGAGCCTCCCGGGGCCTCGGGATCTCTGGACATCCTCGACCTCGCCCTCGCCGTCGTCGTCGTCGTCGTCGTCGTCGTCGTCGTCGTCGTCGTCGTCCTCGTCCTCGTCCTCGTCGTCGTCGTCGTCGTCGTCGTCGTGTCGTCGTCGTCGTCGTCTCGTCGTCGTCGTCGTCGTCGTCGGTCGCCGCCGCCGCCGCACCGGCGGTGTGTCCCGGGGGGCTCCGTGCATTCCCGGGGGTATCGTGCCGGCCCCCTTCGGCGGTGCCCGCGGTGCGTCCCCGGGGGGGGGGGGGGGGTCGTGCACCGGGTGGGGGGGGGTCGCGCCGAGCCGGGCTCCGCCGACATGTATGAATGTATGGGCCTTCGCCCCATCCCGACATCGTCGTCGTCGTCGTCGCCGTCGTCGTCGTCGTCGTCGTTGTCTTCGTCGTCGTCGGTCGCCGCCGCCGCCGCCGCACCGGCGGTGTGTCCCGGGGGGGCTCCGTGCATTCCGGGGGGTATTTATCGTGCCGGCCCGCTTCGGCGGAGCCCGCGGTGCGTCCCCGGGGGGGGGGGGGTCGTGCACCGGGTGGGGGGGGGTCGCGCCGAGCCGGGCTCCGCCGACATGTACGAATGCATGGCCCTCGCCTCGGGGGCGGAAAAGAGGGGGGCGATGACTAGGGGGGGGTGGGGTATCCTGGCGGGGGCCATGATATTTCCCCAGATTTCATGGCGCCTCTGCTTATTTCATTGCGTCCCTGGCCCCCCCGCTGGGCCGCGCACATGCCGCCGGTCATGATTTGCACCCCCCCCCCTCTTGGACACCCCCCTTTTGGCCGCTCCCGATCGCCCCATCCCGACACCGCGCCTAGGTTGTGGGTCAGGGGTCTCTTGCATGCCTGTGGGGACCTCTCGGGAGACCTCTCGGGAGCTTCTGAGACGCGGTTCTCGGGGAGTCCTGCGGATTCTCGGTGTCTCTCGGGGAGCCTGCCGGGGTTTGAGTTCGGCCTCCTGGGGGCCGCCTGAGGCTTCTGGGGGGCCCCTGCGGGCTTGCCGGCGAAGAACGCAAAATGTTAGTTCGAGTTTCCCCTCTTGGAGCCTTCTTGGGGGCCTCTGGGCCGTTTGGGGGGCCTCTCGGGCCGCCTTTGGCCCGTCTTGGGCCATCTTGGGGGCCTCGTGGGCAGTCTTGGGGCGATCTTGGAGACCTGAACACTTCGTTGAACTGCATGATGCCACGTTCCTACTTTTCGAAATCTAGTTTGCACTCCAGAATGATGCAGGGCAGCTGATTCTCAAAGCGGGGCCCTCGCCGAAATGGCAGGCAGATGCAGTGCAGGCCTGGTTCAAGAAGGGCGTGCCATCTTGCGAAGAGCGAGCTCTGCAGGGCCTCAGGGGGAGGGGTCTTGGGGCGGGAGGGTGTCCTGCAGCATCCACCGTCCTTCCCCTTTCAGGAGGGAAAACACACACACACACAGACACAATTAATCGTCGATTCCCCAGAAAATATGGGAAAATATGGGAAGTGGGGGGGAAGACAAAAACCCCAAAAATATGGGAAAGCATGGGGAATATTTTGATTTGTGTGTATTTAGTTGTGTGTCCCAGGGCCCCTTCACCCTTGCTGCCCGCGCCCCAGGCGGGGCTGCTGCTGCTCTTGGCGGCCCTGGCGGCGGGCGCGTGCTCGATGTCGGCGGCGCTGCTGGAGGCGTCCGGGGTCCGCCCGCGCTCGTCTCCCGGCGGCGCGCAGGAGTGCGGGGTCGGGAAGGAGGAGGGAGGGAGGAGGAGGAAAGTTGGAGGAAGGGAGGACAGTTGGAGGAGGAGGAAGGTTGGAGGGAGGAGGAGGGAGGGAGGGGGAGAAAGAGAAGGAGGAGGGAGGGAGGAGGAAAGTGGAGGAGGAGGAGGGAGTACCCCAGGGCCAGAGTGGACCCAGGATGCGTAAGCGGCGCTGGCCAGTCTGCAAGACACCCTCCCGTCCCAAGTCCCACAAGTCCTTGCAAGACTTGCATTCATTCCCTTTCCACCGCAGGAAGCGCCCAGTGGGCCCTCCAATCAAGTGAGGCTGGACTCCATCCTTGTCATTGTTGGGCACTTTCAACACGAATGTGCGCGGCGCTGAAGCGATAGCCGCATGTTGTAAGGGGTGAGGAGGAGTGTAGAAACAGGAGGGGTAAGTAAGAGGGTGGAGGAGGAGGGAGGAGGGAAGACGAGAGAGGAGGGTGAGGAGGGTGTAACTGTTCCCGCCGAAGCCACTGCCCTTCTCTCTGAGTCTCTGATCTCTACCATCTCTGACTGGTTGCTCTCTGGGCTGATGTTTGTGAGCGAGGTGCTGAGAGTGCGAGGCTGCTCATGCGATGGTGACGACGGACTTTTCGGTAGCGGGGCGGTACATCCTGCACTTCTTGGGCTCACGCCAGAATCCCAGCAATACTGAGTTGCTTAAATGTTTGAGCCAACATGGTCCCGGAAGGATTGCCTTGCCACTGACCGTCTTACCTGTCAGGTCAAAGAGGGCCTGCTGAACAAGGCCAGCTGCAGCTGGGACTCTAAAAGAGCCAGGTTCGTCGTGGATCACAGATGCGTAATCGTGAGTTTTCTTGTGCACAGGCCTGCCTGTTGACGTGTACTTACCTGGAGGCTTTGGGGGCAAGCGTGGTAGTGGAGCCCACAGGAGCTTGCTCTGAGTTTGTGAACTGCGCAGATCCGTGGCGCCTGATCGACGCCTTCCATAGGCGACTTAGATTCGTGACGCGTCGCATGTCCCCGCCAGCCCATCCAGAAACGATATCCAGGCGAGCTGCCTTGATCAAGCCGCGAGCCATCTCAAGCTTGTCAAGAAGCCGCGGCCTCGCCCCAATCCCATTCTTTCTTGCCACCATGTTACGTCGGAGGCAACGGCCGTGAGATGATCGATCACGCAAGGGCGCATGAGTCCAGTGCTCCCCGTTGCGGCGACGCCGATCGTTGCGACAGACTGCGCCGAGTCGCTGCTGGGGAGCACCGTCGGTGCATTGAGGCAACGACGCCGACCGCTGCTGCGGCGCCCCTCCTCCTGCGGGTGCGCGGCGCTCGCGTGCTCGAGCGCACCGACAGCCGACTCGGATGCCGTCCCGTGCAGCGGAGGCCCATGCCAAGAGGCACCCTGCTTGCCTCCAGGGTTCCCTGGGTTTCTTGGATTTCGATGGTTTTGCGAGGGAGAGCGTGACGTTTCGCCGAGCGCGTTCCACTACTCGCAAAGGGCCTACTCGCAAACGTCCGAAGAACATGTGATTGCCTCGATGTAATATATCGTAAAAGTCCCCCGCGGCGGATCCGCGCCATCTGCGAGCAGCTGCTTTCGCGGGTGGTGGAACGCGCTTGTCTCACGTTCCCACACCAGAAATCAGTGGACGCCCTGGGGTCTCAGCTCGGAGCGTGAATTACCTACCCCGCTTTCGCTTCCAGGCAAAACCAAGTACCACGCGCCTCCTCGTCAAGCGGCCTGACCAGTACAGGCCCTAGTTTGGCATCGTTGGGTATCTCTTGGAAGCGAGGGTGGTCAAAAGCGAGGTAGGTTTGTTTTCCCCCTATTTTCACAGGCTGCTGCTCTTCTCGCGCGGCCCGTGCTCCTCACCGCCTCGCCGTCGCTCGGACGCCCATGCGTTCCCCGCGCATCTCCTTCGGTGTCGCGCGTGCTTTTTTTGCCGCAGGATCCAGCCTTGGCGGCGAGACCCCCCCCCTTGGCCCAATCAGGGCCCAGCGGAGCCCAAGAGCTTCGACCTTAGATCTTCCCCTGCCTTTCACCATGACTGAATCTGACAGGTCTCCCGTGGCCGGGCCCCATGCTGTGCTTCTCACGGCGCTGCGCTCGGCACTCCCCGCGGGCTCACCGCCGCCAGGCACGGCACGCTGCGCGCGGAGGGCACCTGCCGTGCAGGTGCATAACCAGGTGGTCGACCAAGCACTTGGCATCGCTCGGACGTGTGCATTTTTTCCTCGGCGAGGACCTTCGAGGAGCATCCTCGACCATTTGGCGAAAAAAACACGCACGAAACCGATAAAAACACAGGAAATGGACGTCCGAGCGATGGCCAGAGCAGTGCCAGCGGCGCTGCCTCTTGCGGCACGGTATCCAGAAGCGCCACATCGAGCACGACACCCAGAAGTACCTTGCACCCAGAGTTGCACGTCTGTCCCGCCTCGCCCACATCAGGTGGCACATCCACGAGCACGACACACAGGCACCACCGGCACCAAACACTTCCTCCATCAAGTGCGCGGTTTCCACGCGCGAGTCAAGAGGCCAGTCACAGAAAGCTCTTGGTTCACATCCGCTCTGGGGGGCCATGCTGCGTCTCCACAGGCCTCTCGTGTGGTGCTATAGGGCTCTTTAGAAGCTATACGGGGGTCGCAGGCGGGTCCCACAACTGGACATGGAAGCACTTCGTTGAGCTCCGCCTCACGGAGCTGGAGGTAGCAGTGCCCGCGTGGACAGATTTTCGTGGCCGATTCAGGCCCTGCCACCTGCCGCGGGAGGCTACAAAAGGGTCCCGGAGGGCCTTGGGGGGGGGGAGGGGCACGCTGCACAGCAGCACGGCTCGCCACCTTCGGGGGACAGGCAGGACCTGCCTGCTCCACAGCCGGGCGGCGTGCCACCCTGGGGGGGTGCCGGGGAAGGCCAGCTCTGCCGCAGAGCGGGGAGCCACCTCAAGCCGCAGGACGGATCGCTGGCTTGGGAGAGGGCCTCGGGGGGTAACACGGGGCAGCGAGAGGGGGGGAAAAGGACGCGGCGAGGGCGCAGGCGAGAAGGACGGAATGTGAGATGATGCCGTGGGGGGACTGCTCGTGGCAGGTGCGTGCCGTCGACACAGAAGGACGACGACGACCACGACGACAACGACAGCGACGAGCTGATAACCCTGCCACAAGCTCGGGACATGGGGCGGGCGGTGGAGGGAGGAGGAGGAGGCTGAGCCTGTGCAACGACGTCTTTGGGATGCTTGTTTTGAGAGGTGCATGGTCAGCGATGCCACTGATCACGTTTCCAGTCAAGTCCAGCAAGCGCTTGATGAAGACATGGCCGCGTACCTGTCAGAAAAAATGTTCGCAGATCGACAATGAAACCAGCGATGTATCGATGCAGAGCATCTACCGCGTTATGCGGCCTCTTTATCAGCGATCGCATTCATTCGCCTGTGCAAAATTAAGATGGTGTTTTGACATTGTCGAGAGTCCAAACAAGCGATTGCCGATTATTTTGCAACGCTGCTCGAAGGACAGCGCATAAGCGTGCAAGTAATGATATGTAAGCACCGGAGCGACAACACTCGTGCCGAGTCTATTGGGCTAGTCGGTGCTGTTGAGCTCGGTGTGGTCCCGAGCACGTGTCTCGGGTCGCCAACATACGTGCTCGATTGAAGCCAAGCATTGGTGTTTCTGCAGATCGCAACGGGTCAGAGCTGTTCACAGCAAACCTTTACGAGTGCGCTCGGCTGTCCCACCCCCTTGTCCTGAAAAATGTGATGTCTAGTCAGCCGCCGCTCTAGTGTAAGGGGGGGCACCTTTTTGAGGTGTTTAAAATCAAAGGGGACTCAACATCAACCTCGTCGCACCAGGATGTCACGATTTGTGAGGCTGCGTCGAAATCCATGTCGAATCACGTGCGCTCCCGAAGTCTTCTGGGCCTCGCCAGAGCCAGTCCGATTTTGTAATTCGGAGGTGGTTTTAATGGTGGTTCGGCACAATTTGCTGATGTGTACCTTATTGCGTCCATGGACATCCCTCGCAAGCACGGTTTGTCGTTGGGCGACTTGACCGTTGACCTTCAGACAGCCTTCCCCAGCATTGCTCGCACGATTGCTTTCCTTGCGCCGTCGTCCATTTAGGTTTTTGTGGCGAAGATCTTGAAAGAGGGGTTCGCCCCAGGGGAGGCGCGGGGTGTCGCTAAAGGGGTGATGGCTTACGAATATGAGCTTGAATCGGGTGGCTCTGAGCACTTCATGGCCATGCTCAACAAATTTCATCGTCAGTCGCGGTTCACAGTTGAAGGTGCGTCTGGTTGCGTCGAGACTGCGTTCGGGTTTCTTGTTGGCAACGCGCTTGGCGATTTTGTATTTTTGCTGGCGTTCAATCGCGTGACGCGTGCTGTTCAGGATCGTCTTAGCGCTGAAGGCCTCCTGCATGTGATACCGGCCGAACCGTCCCTGCCGCGCTTCGGCGAAATTGACGAGGCCAACATCGGCAGTGCCATGATCGCGCCAGGGCCAGCTGCATACGTTGACGACGTCGTTCGGCCCATTTTGGCACCAGCTCGCCAAATCATTGCGAGGACGAACGCCTGCGAGGGTGTCTACGATGATGTGTTCACCTGTTTTGCGCTCAAGACAAATTCAAGAAGGGCAAGACAGAGGCGCTCTTCAGATTCTCAGGGCCTGGTGCTGCCGAGGTGAAGCGCCAGTTGTTCGTGGACAGCGGTGCTTTTATCCCTGCTACACTATTGGGTACTGAGCGCCAGCGCGTGGCTACGTCGCAGTACAGACACGTTGGCACCATCACGTGTTGCACAAACGCAATGCAACCTGAGATCATTGCGAAGATGAATGCTGTGATGGGGGAGTTCTGAGCAGATCCGCCCAAGCACTCTGAGCTGTGCTGCGGTGGATGTCGAGAAGCGCATCCTGGTATGCCAACGGCTCTTTTTTTACTAGTGGTCTTCACCAAGCAGGACATGGCCCCCGTTATATTCCGGTGAAACGGTTCGGGTGCACACTACCATCATGCAGGTGTATTGTTCGATTTTTCCTGGCGATTGCGAGGGTGCTCAATTGTTTGCTCATGGTGTCATTGCGTCGCACGATTCTTCTGTCGCCCCAGCCATCATGATACTGTACATGCGGTTGTGTCTTTTTGTGAGGGTCCGTTGGGGGCGCTCATGAATTGTGCGTTGCGTTAGCCCACACTGTTGGTCTGCAGAGGTCGTGGTTGCAGGCAGCTGTTGGCAAACTAACGATGTTGTCGTCCACGTCGGGGACTTTCGCATCTTTCAGCGCCGCGTCGCTCGAAGAGCGAATCGCCGTGGTTCGGGACAGCCCGCGGCGGTTCAAGAAAGCTTTCCGCGATGCTAAATCGAGAAAGTCCGTAAATTACGTTTTTGCGGGGGCTAAGACGAAGCGGGTTGCTGGGAGTATATTGGGGCGTGCTATTGTCTCGTGTGTCTGCAATGTTTCCATTGCGGAACGCGTGTGGTCAAGCATGCCGTAGAGAAATAATCCAGGCGTTGCCGATTTGCTTTGTTGGACAATTTCCAAAGGATGCCCTCGCATGTGGCCGTTGATATTGACCGGCAGGATGCCGACCGAACGCGTAAAATGACCAGGCAAGGACGCAGGCGACACCGTGTTGACATTGGCGTTGAGCGGCTGAGTGGGCCGTTGATCGGGGAAGCTTACGAGGCTGGCATTCGCCACAAATCCCTCCTTTCCTGTCCTGATTCTCCCGGTCCCACAGGTGGCCGAACAAGGGGCCCATGCAAAAACGCGAGTTTGCACGGGCAGGCGCCCCGCTGACAGGTTATGCCGAGCCGTCGGGGCTACAGGTGGCACCTTTTCACATGCACGTGTCGCCCCATCGTGCTGGCTGACTTCTCCTTGGTGCATCTCCGGTTCCAGACGCCCCCCTGAAGCAGTAGCAGCGCTAACGGAGACCATCTTTTTGGTCCCCCTTCTCCCACCGAAGGGGACCGCCCAGTGGAGGGGAGGGATGTCCACCAGGCCCACGGGGGTTATCTGACCCGGGACACACCCCTTCCCTCCCCGACCCCCCTTCCCATAACCCCCTCCCGTCTGGGAGGGGAAACGGGGAGGGAGCCGACTGATTTACGACGTTTCTTTTACGGCGTTTTTTTTCCCGTTCGTTTCTCGACCTCTTTGGGAGTGGCGACGACGACTACGAAGGCGACGACAGCGTCTCACACACGCCGACGGCGGATTTCCAGCGAGGCGGGGGGGGGGCAGCGGCCCACGGGACAGGCGGCGGAGTGCGCCGCCCAGCGCGCCGAGGCACGCGACAAAAACAGTTCACGTCGGCGTGCGCCGCCGCGCATCGTTCGCACGACGGGTGTCCAGATGAGCTGGAGAGAGCAGGAGCAAGAGAACGGGGTACCGTACCGACGTCAGTCGGTTTTTGCTGTTGTTACACGCGAAGACATTCACGTGTGAGTTCATGCGAGTTTGGACTGTTTTGTTTTGCACTTCTGGGTATCATGGAGAGAAGGACAAGCAGCAGCGACGGGGCTTAGATGCCAGGGCGATGAGCCTGTGTCGCCCAGGCTATCTAAGCTTAAATATCTCAGGACAGGAAATCGTCGAGCACGCGGGGAGCACACCCGTACCATCCCTGACCGGCGACCCTTGCGTCTTGTGTTGGTGCCATCCCAAGGGCTGCGGCAAGCCATCGGGATGGAGATGGCGGGGGAGGATGAGGAAAGGAGGAGGAAGAGGAGGAGGAGGAGAAGGAGAAGGAAAAGGAGTAGGAGGAGGAGGAGGAGGAGGAGGAGGGGGAGGAGGAGGAGGAGGAGGAGGAGGAGGAGGAGGAGGAGGGAGGAGGAGGAGGAGGAGGAGGAGGAAGAGGAGGAAGAGGAGGAGGAGGAGGAGGAGGAGGACGAAAGGAGGAGGAGGAGGACGAGGAGGAGGAGGAGAAAAAGGAGAAAGAGGAGGAAGAGAAGTAGGAGTAGGAGGAGGAGGAGGAGGAGGTTGCTGGCGCGCCTGAGGGGGCCAGGGCAAGGAGGCGGCCTTCAGAGGGTGCGCAGCGCATGGTGGTTTGAGGGGGCAGCTCCGTCCTAGGGAGCACCCTGCCTTCTTGGAAGGTTTCCCCCCGGACTCTGCCCCTTCCCGCGCGCCGCCAAGCTTCTGCGAGGGCAAAGGAGGCCGAGAATGGTTTGGTCAAACATCTTCCCTGGCGTTCTTATGCCACCAGGGAGAATGCTGATAGAATCGCGCTAGCGGTCTGGGCTTGAGATTTGTTTTCCTCCTGGGGGCGGTGCGAGGCCGATAAGCGCGCCCCACGCGCCGCGAAGCGGGAAGATCGGTGGCACGTGCTCATAAACGATCAATTCGGTCGAACAGCTTCCTCGACAGGCGTGCGCTCGAAGTTTGCTTCTGTCAGTTTCTCACCAGGCTCGGCACAATAGCACCCGATACTGTACTGCGTCGGGCGCTCGATCCTGCAGATATCCGCGCTTCCGAGAGCCAATGAGGCCCTCGGCGGACGCCTTTTCGTGGGCTCGGGGCATGGAGGGCGCAGTGGTGCAGGTATGCGCGGGTGGAGGGATGGGGGTACCTGGCGCGGTTATTCCACGTGTGACTCTGCGACGCAGCCTGGCATTGCCGATGCGTGTGCTTGTTGTGGTCCCTTCGGAGCGAGAGCGTTTGCTTGTGGTGGTTCGCGGTCTCCCCGTTTCCTCCCTCTTCTCTAAGAAATCCAATTCAACAAGCGTTGTCGTTCTGTCGGGCGGCAACATATTGAGCGCTCCCGTTCGGGCAGAGCGAGGCCGGACTTCACCGCCGGAAAACAGTTGCATTCCCAGCACATGATCGCACGTGTTCTATCCCGAGCGTGCTTAGCTCTTCCGAGCAGGAGGACTTAGTGTGGGGGAAGGGGGAGTCTTCGGAAGGATGAGGAGGAGGAGGAGGAGGAGGAGGAGGAGCACGAGGAGGAGCAGGAGGAGGAGGAGGAGGAGGAGGAGGGGAAAGGGAGTGAGAGAGGGAGGGAGGGAGGAAGGAGGATTAACCCTTGGTATGCCGAGGTGTTTACTGCCTGGCGCTGCGGCATGCAGTGTGAGCGGTGACAGGCGACTGGAGCCCTGGCATGGGAGGCGTAGGTTGTGAGGCAGGGAAGTGATATCATGGAGGTCGACACAGAAGACGAGAGGTGAAAAGCTAGGTGAACACGAGATGAGAGATTCGACTTCCTGACGTGGCGTGGGCTCGAATTTTCTCTCCTTATCTGCGGCCTAAATTCGCCGTTTCCTTCTTCCTTGCTTCTCGTTCTTTTTTCTCCACCGCCCCTCGTTCTTCCCTCTTGAAGGTATCTTGAAGACTTCTTGGGGGTATCGTAGGAGCCCATTGAGGGCCCGTCGGGGGTCTCGAGGCCGTCTTGGGCGCAGTTGGTCCTCCGAGTTCTCCCAAGGAGGCTCGTTTAAACCATCTTGGGAACGTCCAGACGGCCTCGGCGTCACCCCAACATACTTATACTATATGTGCGTCGCCCCCCGGGGGGCGATGCGCGTACCGAGAAGTCTTATAGTATATGCGTCGTGGCGGGCGCTTTCTGGCCACGCCGCTCGGGAAACGATATACTACAAGATGGGTATACTATATGTTTGGGTCGGACGCGCGCCTCCAAAGAATACATATAGTATTAGTATGTCCCTGTGCGTCCCACGGGCCGTCTTGGAGCTCTCTTGGACCGGGCAATGTTGGAGCCGCTCCATCTGCAGCCGACAAGTTCCTAAAGGCCGATTGGGGCACATTGGAGAGATCTTGTGGCCGTTTCAAGCTCGTTTGGCGATCGTTGGACGTCTTGTAGCTTTTTCGAGGCGGTTTTAGGCTCTCCTGGGGCCATCTATACGCCGAAGATAGCGCCAGAGAGCAAAATGGGGGGGAGGCGTTCTTGAAAACGCGCGCGGGTAGGGAGGAGTGCGTTCGCCATGCCGCTCGTTGCTCGCATGAGATCCGCCTCAGATGCCGAAGTGGAGGGCGGCGGGAGGTGCCAGAAACAAACAAGCAAGACCCTTTTGGGCACCAGAAGCGCCTGGGTGCACGAGGAGGGCGAAAGGAACAATCTCGGAATGGCCTAAGGAACAGCGAGCCCTTTACGAACCCTTTGATGTGAGCGACGAACGACACACGGGTTGAGGGACAAAATACGCAACATTCTCCCCTCCCAGGCAAGTTAAAGTTTCCACGTTTACGCGTTGCCGCTCGGACACTGAAACTCGGAAGATCCGAAGCCAACATCGCACTTGGGGGAAGGAGGGGAGTTCAAACCATATATTTCGCGTGGGCCTTCGTTTCTTATTTAGCGTTCCCTATGGCAGCAGCTTGACTGCATGTCGTTCGTCGCTCACATCAACTCCGCCTCAGATGCTGGCGCGCGGGGGGGGGCGGGAGGTTCACCCGGCCGCCCGCAGTTGCGGGCCCGACCGCACAGCAGACGCGCGGCGTTTCTCCACGGGAGTCGCCCTTGGAGAAAAGACAACGACTTGCCATGGCGGTGCCACAGCGAGCGGGGGGAGGATCGGGGGGACGAGGAGGAGGAAGAGGGGGAGGAGGGAGGAGGAGGAGGAGGAGGAGGAGGAGGAGGAGGAGGAGGAGAAGGAGGAGGAGAGGAGGAGGAATTAGAGTGGAGGATGAGGAGGAGGCCATTTTACCGACAGCTGAATACCAAACAGGGAGGCCTACTAGTTTTTGCTTGTTGGCGGCTGTTTCCCACCAGACCCCAGCCCTGCACCCCCACTCGGGGAGGGTTGTCTTGGAGAGCTCCAGCAGGCTTTACTTGCGGACCCCCACACCTGGATCCTTTCTCGGGGTGGTTCGGACGGTTCACCATATCATAAGGTGATGTTCCAGCCCATCTTCACTCGCTCACCCACCTCCCTCGCATACTCCTACTCACCTCAGCTTAGTCAGAATTGGGCGCCCACGAATATTCAGCCTAGGCATACTCAGACCTACCCGCGCAGTCGCTCCGAACTCCGATCACCCACAGTTAGACGCACTCATATCCAACCTCTGCTTTGAGCGCCCCGTGATCACCGCGGTGTAACACGCGGGGCGCTTGGGCATTTCAAGGGGGAACTGCCAGACGGTATTTAGTTTTTGCGTTCCCGCCCAGATAGTGGGATGTCTCGAGTGGTTCGTTCGTTTGGTGCTCCCGACTTCTTTGTTTTAAGGGCCTCATGATCAGTGCGATATAGCAATCGTAGCACTCGGGAACCTCCAGATGTTTTTTAATTTTTTCCGTTCGCGCCCAGATTTTTGGGACGCTTCGAGCGGTTCGCTCGTTTGGTGCCCGAGGCTCCTGTTTTCTGAGGGCTCCCCATGTGCAGGCGGACGAGCCGTGTGCGACTACTTCGCGAAAGCAGAAGTGCACACGCAGAGCGTCGGCACAGAGCATCGCCGTGCATCCACGTCGCGATGAGCGGGCCATGGCCCGAGGCCGACGTTGCCCACTTGTTTGTGCCATTCGATATTTTCGACGAGGGCCGCCATTGGCTGCCCTGCTCCTCTTTGTCCTGTCTCGCCTTGGCGCCTCTCTCTGCACCACCGCTGCAGGTCAAGGACACCACGGACGCGCGTCTCCAGGGCTGTAGGAACAAGGGCGAGGAGGAAGAGGAGCAGCGTCGGGCCATGGGCCTTTGGCGCACCGGGCCCGGCACGCAGTCACGGATCACGCCAGCGGCGCGTTGAGGCGCCATCGCCTCGGGGTTACACCGCCAAGTCCCTCCACCCCCCACCCTCCCCCTCCCCCCCCTAGACCTCCTCGGGGATGGGGGGGAGGAGGCGGGGAGGGAGGGGCGGGAAGGGGGGAGCGAGCAACTCCAATGGCAAAGTTGCGCCAAGAGTTTGGTGGAGCAGCGCGCTGCAACATGAGAGGCTCGCTGGGAAAATGCGGCAGAACGAGGGCCGAAAAGGTTCATTCCTGGGCCACCCGCTGCGCGAACACAGGTATCCATGGCATGTCCTTCGAAATCATTATATTATATCCGCCAGGCGGGGCAGAAATCCGAAAACGCCACCATCGCATCCATCAGGTTGACTTCGACAGTTTCGCATCGGGTCAGATCGCGATATTCCGGCGCGTTTATTCCACTGCTTTTGCGCGGGGGGGCCTCTCCAAGTCGATTAAAAGTTTGTGTCATCGTTCGAATGGGCCACGGGTGATGTTTTGATGAAGTGAGCGAATGGCATCGAAACCACAGGCTGGCGCCCTCACCCTCCGTTCGATTCCTATTCTTCGCTAGCGTTGCTAGGCGCCGTCTGGTCGATGAACCATGTCTTTCTGTCGCAGCGTCTGGTGCCCGTGCCCATAATTTGCCGTGCACGCGGAAACCGTCGTCCACTGTCCGCGGGCGCGGAAGCCGAAATTGGCGGATGCGGAAGACATTGCCCGCGGAAACAGAAGCTGATATTGGTGGGCACAGAAAAGCGCTGTCGGTGGATACCGAAACCAACGAGTAAACATCGAATCCGTATTCTCGATACCGAATCCGGTGGATCCCCAGATTATCCCACGAGTGTTGCCATTCGTTGAGACCAAACGGGCCCGTTTGCATTTTCACCCGCTCTCCCGAGGCATACGCCAGCACAGAGTGTACGGGGGGGGTGTAATTGGAATGCGCTCCTCCTTGAGGTCAGAGATGCGTTTGGCCCCCTCGATGCTGGGGTAAAGCATCACAGAAACAGCGAAGATCCCCATGCCTGCCCTTATTTCCTTCACCCTCGAACCATTGTCGCGAAGCAGGGCCGAATACCACTCCCCACTTCCACGTTCCAACAGCCCACGCGCCTCTCTTAGACTTTTTCATTCACCGACTCTGATTCCCGTGGGGGGCAGCAGAATTCCCCCCCTATGCCTGAAGATCCGCGCGCCATGTCTCCAGCAAACATGTTGGTTTGCGATTATGGGGCCATGAGCGACCTCGAAAACGATGACGAAGATGACGGCTTCACCATTACAGGTCAGCGTGAAAACGATAAAACCAAAGACTCCCATGGGCAAGCACTGCCACCTCAGGGCAGCGAGGGCTACCTCAACGCGAAGCCCCTCCATTGCCACCTCTACTTAGGTTGGCCCTCCCCCGCTGCACCTCTTCCGATATTGGCACCGCGAACAGCACCCGACGGGACCACACCAGCAGAGGATACGAGATCAGGCTTAGATGACGTAAACTAAACGGTTCAACGGATACCGAGGGATGCAGATAACCAAATTAATATCGTGGTCTAGGTTCAACGTCCTTGTCATTTGGTGCGTTGCAAGTATTTCAGACGAAATGCATCCTTGGTTGATTGGCTGTGCACGCTTATCGCAAACAGCGACCGCCATTGCGATTGCCTGACGGACATTGCTTCTCCCGAAGCGCTGCAGGAAAATATTTGGGACTTCGGCACGGCATTTTGGTGTCTCGGAATCTTGACTGCAACGGATTTTTGCATGTGGTGGTCAACAATGAGCTTATAATCCATAACGCTACAGTGGGGTGCGGTACTGATGCTAATGCACAAAAACAACTCTTGGAAATGGCAATCCAGTAATACCCCACTGCGACGCTTGGAAGCGTGTTATGGGATGGCGATTACATGTCTATTCAAAGATCCGCCACTCCTCCGATAGATCATCCTACATCGACCGGCGGCACGACCAAGACAGTTGGTCGACGAAGAAATCCAAACGTCGAATGCGACAGGGGAGACAGAGAGGGAGATAGCGAACCCGATGACGAAGCGCGTGATTATGATTCGATCCGGCCCCAAATTGCAATTCATGATTCGATCATTGATATGTTAAGCTTGGTTTGTGCATTACCACTTGGATCAATTGACGCGGATATCACGGGGCGCGTGCAACGACATAGATGGCCATCATTCAATATCCCTATATTCTGGGCAGCGGCGGGGGACAGCAGTACCACAGCTCTGCTGGATTGGATAGAACACTCTCTTTTCAACGACGCATTTCCTACGTTCCACATTTGTCTCAAGAAGTACGCCACGGAGAGACAATATAATCGAGATGCTTATTTCCCGTGAGAGCCCAAAAAACGTCGTTTCCATGCACTTGCAG